TCGGTAAACAACTTCTTTATGTCTAGAAAATTCTATCTTGCCTTTTATTTTTTTCTCGCTGTGAAACGTATTCGGTCTTTTTTTTAAAAAATTAATTTTTTGTTAGAGAAGAGCTAAAACTCGGTAAAAAACTTCTTTATGTCTAGAAAATTCTTATCTTGCCTTTATTTTTTCTCGCTGTGAAACGTATTCGGTCTTTTTTTTTTAAAATTAATTTTTTTGTTAGAGATAAGAGCTAAAACTCGGTAAACAACTTCTTTATGTCTAGAAAATTCTATCTTGCCTTTTATTTTTTTTCTCGCTGTGAAACGTATTCGGTTCTTTTTTTTAAAAATAATTTTTTTGTTAGAGATAAGAGCTAAAACTCGGTAAACAACTTCTTTATGTCTAGAAAATTCTATCTTGCCTTTTATTTTTTTCTCGCTGTGAAACGTATTCGGTCTTTTTTTAAAAATTAATTTTTTGTTAGAGATAAGAGCTAAAACTCGGTAAACAACTTCTTTATGTCTAGAAAATTCTATCTTGCCTTTTATTTTTTTCTCGCTGTGAAACGTATTCGGTCTTTTTTTTAAAAATTAATTTTTTGTTAGAGATAAGAGCTAAAACTCGTAAACAACTTCTTTATGTCTAGAAAATTCTATCTTGCCTTTTATTTTTTTTCTCGCTGTGAGAACGTATTCGGTCTTTTTTTTAAAAATTAATTTTTTGTTAGAGAATAAGAGCTAAAAACTCGGTAAACAACTTCTTTATGCTAGAAAATTTTATCTTGCCTTTTATTTTTTTCTCGCTGTGAAACGTATTCGGTCTTTTTTTTTAAAATTAAATTTTTTGTTAGAGATAAGAGCTAAAACTCGGGAAACAACTTCTTTATGTCTAGAAAATTCTATCTTGCCTTTTATTTTTTCTCGCTGTGAAACGTATTCGGTCTTTTTTTTAAAAATTAATTTTTTGTTAGAGAATAAGAGCTAAAACTCGTAAACAACTTCTTTATGTCTAGAAAATTCTATCTTGCCTTTATTTTTTTCTCGCTGTGAAACGTATTCGGTCTTTTTTTTAAAAATTAATTTTTTGTTAGAGATAAGAGCTAAAACTCGGTAAACAACTTCTTTATGTCTAGAAAATTCTATCTTGCTTTTATTTTTTTCTCGCTGTGAAACGTATTCGGTCTTTTTTTTAAAAATTAATTTTTTGTTAGAGATAAGAGCTAAAACTCGGTAAACAACTTCTTATGTCTAAGAAAATTCTATCTTGCCTTTTATTTTTTTCTCGCTGTGAAACGTATTCGGTCTTTTTTTAAAATTAATTTTTTGTTAGAGATAAGAGCTAAAACTCGGTAAACAACTTCTTTATGTCTAGAGAATTCTATCTTGCCTTTTATTTTTTCTCGCGTGGAAACGTATTCGGTCTTTTTTTTAAAAATTAATTTTTTGTTAGAGATAAGAGCTAAAACTCGGTAAACAACTTCTTTATGTCTAGAAAATTCTATCTTGCCTTTTATTTTTTTCTCGCTGTGAAACGTATCGGTCTTTTTTTTAAAAAATTAATTTTTTGTTAGAGATAAGAGCTAAAACTCGGTAAACAACTCTTTATGTCTAGAAAATTCTATCTTGCCTTTTATTTTTTTCTCGCTGTGAAACGTATTCGGTCTTTTTTTTAAAAATTAATTTTTTGTTAGAGATAAGAGCTAAAACTCGGTAAACAACTTCTTTATGTCTAGAAAATTCTATCTTGCCTTTTATTTTTTTCTCGCTGTGAAACGTATTCGGTCTTTTTTTTAAAATTAATTTTTGTTAGAGATAAGAGCTAAAACTCGGTAAACAACTTCTTTATGTCTAGAAAATTCTATCTTGCCTTTTATTTTTTTCTCGCTGTGAAACGTATTCGGTCTTTTTTTTAAAAATTAATTTTTTGTTAGAGATAAGAGCTAAAACTCGGTAAACAACTTCTTTATGTCTAGAAAATTCTATCTTGCCTTTTATTTTTTTCTCGCTGTGAAACGTATTCGGTCTTTTTTTTTTAAAAATTAATTTTTTGTTAGAGATAAGAGCTAAAACTCGGTAAACAACTTCTTTATGTCTTGAAAATTCTATCTTGCCTTTTTTTTTTCTCGCTGTGAAACGTATTCGGTCTTTTTTTTTAAAAATTAATTTTTTGTTAGAGATAAGAGCTAAAACTCGGTAAACAACTTCTTTATGTCTAGAAAATTCTATCTTGCCTTTTATTTTTTTCTCGCTGTGAAACGTATTCGGTCTTTTTTTTTTAAAAATTAATTTTTTGTTAGAGATAAGAGCTAAAACTCGGTAAACAACTTCTTTATGTCTAGAAAATTCTATCTTGCCTTTTATTTTTTCTCGCTGTGAAACGTTATCGTCTTTTTTTTAAAATTAATTTTTTGTTAGAGATAAGAGCTAAAACTCGGTAAACAACTTCTTTATGTCTAGAAAATTCTATCTTGCCTTTTATTTTTTTCTCGCTGTGAAACGTATTCGGTCTTTTTTTTAAAAAATAATTTTTTGTTAGAGATAAGAGCTAAAACTCGGTAAACAACTTCTTTATGTCTAGAAAATTCTATCTTGCCTTTTATTTTTTCTCGCTGTGAAACGTATTCGGTCTTTTTTTTAAAAATTAATTTTTTGTTAGAGATAAGAGCTAAAACTCGGTAAACAACTTCTTTATGTCTAGAAAATTCTATCTTGCCTTTTATTTTTTTCTCGCTGTGAAACGTATTCGGTCTTTTTTTAAAAATTAATTTTTTGTTAGAGATAAGAGCTAAAACTCGGTAAACAACTTCTTTATGTCTAGAAAATTCTATCTTGCCTTTTATTTTTTTCTGCTGTGAAACGTATTCGGTCTTTTTTTTAAAAATTAATTTTTTGTTAGAGATAAGAGCTAAAACTCGGTAAACAACTTCTTTATGTCTAGAAAATTCTATCTTGCCTTTTATTTTTTTCTCGCTGTGAAACGTATTCGGTCTTTTTTTTAAAAATTAATTTTTTGTTAGAGATAAGAGCTAAAACTCGGTAAACAACTTCTTTATGTCTAGAAAATTCTATCTTGCCTTTTATTTTTTTCTCGCTGTGAAACGTATTCGGTCTTTTTTTTAAAAATTAATTTTTTGTTAGAGATAAGAGCTAAAACTCGGTAAACAACTTCTTTATGTCTAGAAAATTCTATCTTGCCTTTTATTTTTTCTCGCTGTGAAACGTATTCGGTCTTTTTTTAAAAATTAATTTTTTGTTAGAGATAAGAGCTAAAACTCGGTAAAACAACTTCTTTATGTCTAAAAATTCTATCTTGCCTTTTATTTTTTTCTCGCTGTGAAACGTATTTGGGCTTTTTTTTTAAAAATTAATTTTTTTTAGAGATAAGAGCTAAAACTCGGTAAACAACTTCTTTATGTCTAGAAAATTCTATCTTGCCTTTTATTTTTTTCTCGCTGTGAAAACGTATTCGGTCTTTTTTTTAAAATTAATTTTTTGTTAGAGATAAGAGCTAAAACTCGGTAAACAACTTCTTTATGTCTAGAAAATTCTATCTTGCCTTTTATTTTTTTCTCGCTGTGAAACGTATTCGGTCTTTTTTTTTAAAATAATTTTTTGTTAGAGATAAGAGCTAAAACTCGGTAAACAACTTCTTTATGTCTAGAAAATTCTATCTTGCCTTTTATTTTTTTCTCGCTGTGAAACGTATTCGGTCTTTTTTTAAAAATTAATTTTTTGTTAGAGATAAGAGCTAAAACTCGGTAAACAACTTCTTTATGTCTAGAAAATCTATCTTGCCTTTTTATTTTTTCTCGCTGTGAAACGTATTCGGTCTTTTTTTTAAAAATTAATTTTTTGTTAGAGATAAGAGCTAAAACTCGGTAAACAACTTCTTTATGTCTAGAAAATTCTATCTTGCCTTTTATTTTTTTCTCGCTGTGAAACGTATTCGGTCTTTTTTTTTAAAATTAATTTTTGTTAGAGATAAGAGCTAAAACTCGGTAAACAACTTCTTTATGTCTAGAAAATTCTATCTTGCCTTTTATTTTTTTCTCGCTGTGAAACGTATTCGGTCTTTTTTTTTAAAATTAATTTTTTGTTAGAGATAAGAGCTAAAACTTTGCAGACAACTCTCCCATGTCTAGCAAATTTAACATTCGTCTCCCATTTTTATATATTTGGTTTAGAATGTTCGAAAATGCGTAATATGGTCATTAATATTAATTGAAAAGAACCTTGAATTAATTCAATCTGATCTCACAAAATATTTTAAATTACAAACTTTGTAGTTTGAATAGATAATTATTATTAAACTCAAATAACTAGTTTATTTTTGAATAAAAATTATTTGAATTAATTCAATTTTGTGAACTTTCCTTCAAAAATCAAGTTTAAATATCTTATTTGCCATATAATTATAAATACAATGAAACAAATTCGAAATTGAAAAGAATGACTTTTTCTGTTCTTTCAATCATTCAATTTTAATTTTGCAATATTGGATTTCTCATTAAATACCTATTAAAAACAACAAGCAATTTAACTTACATTCAAATTTATTTGTGTTTTATTCAATCTTCTCAAAACTTATAATTTTCGGCTATAGCATGATTATATGCTATATAATATAATAAACCTATAATAGTATCATTCTTTCAATTATTTGAAGAGAAAACCGAAATAATCTATTTTCGGTCTATAACACTTTCATTTGTCTCTTATTTTGATGAACTGAAGTTATCGAAACATTTTTTCACGATTTAAAAGTAACTAAATTTGAAATCCGAAGGTAAACAACCGCTAGATTGCACCAAAATTTTTTTCAATTGAAAATTTAATTCCAGATGCTACAAACAATATACTTTAAAATTTATTTTATTTCCATAATCCGAAATTTTTTTGGATCTGATTTTTTTTAATGAGCAATAGATATTATGTTTGTTGCTAAAAGAAACGGCAAACATGCGAAAAATTCTTTCTGAAGATGTAAATTTTAATCTGAATTAAAAAGTTTAATTCATGAGTTGGCCTGGATATCTTGCAGGTGGCCTCATGGTACCCACTATTCTTACCCAAATGATTCCTTTGATCCGTAAGAAACCAGCAGCCTCACCATATGTTTATTTTAATTCTTTGTTAATAAATATTGGCTATGGCTTACTTCCTGCTATTACTTGTAATCAAGCATTAGCGTATATTTCTTATGCTTGTCTCGGAATAGGATTTTTCTTCTTTATTTTCCCATTTGATACATGCTGCTGCAGATCATGGTTCGATGGCTGGCATTTTGCTGCAGGAGAACTTTGTCGTTCAAAACTTTCACGTGGTGAATTTATTACAGCGCTGTGCGGAAATCGTGCACTTCCTCCTCTGATTACCGTTCATGCAGAAGCCTACCACTACGAAACCCGTGTTCGCCATTATACAACCACTAATTCCGAAGGTGAAACAGAGCACCATACAGAGACATATACCGAAAAAGTTACAACTTATTACAACCACAAAGCCTATAAGTATAAATCATGGCAAGAAGATGGCAACCAAATTCGTATCAAAGAGACCGATGTTTGCCATGCCGTTTGCACAGTTCATTATAGATTCGATGATAAGGCCGTCAAGAAGTTAAATAAACTTCGCCGTAAAATGTACAAGGAAGCAAAGAGACACGATCTCTACGCTGACGTTAGCCATTCAATCGAAACACCTAAATTCAGGACAAGTATCACAGGCTATCTTTGCCAAGAAGAACCATGTGAGATCAAGTTCTACCAGAGCTGCATTGGCCGTTTCCTTTGGTTCATTTGCTCACTCCTTGGTTATCAATCAGTTTTCGAATACCGCTGGACATCAACTGGCGAAAGAATGCATCTCAGACTTCTTAAGAACATCTCCGGCCACTCAGACAAGTACCGCTGCAAATTCTACCAAGAAGACCATGATGCAGCTTCATCCACATTCAGAACAGACGGAGGCGTTTACAGCCTTAACGATTCCCTCCTTATGTCATTCAACCCTCAGGTCATCGACCCACTTTGGCTCCAGGATCTCCCACCAATTGAAGCTCTTCCTCCTGGTCAGCAAGGCCAAGCTCCACCACCACCTCCACCTCAACCTCAGCAACAAGGCGGATATCCCCCTCAACAAGGCGGATACCCACCACAGCAGGGCGGTTACCCACCTCCACAGCAATACGCTCCTCCACCTGGTTACAACGCTCCTCCACCTGGATATGCTCCAGGCTACCTTCCACAACAGCAGGGATATGCACCACCACCACAGGGCTATGCAGCACCTCCTCCTGGATCCCAGCAACCACCGCCCAAAATGCAATGATCTTATTTTTTCTAAGTTCAACTTCTAAACGATTTTTAATTACCACAATCTAATATCAGTTATTTATGGGTATCTATTTTTATCAATTTTTTTGAATAATTTTTTTTTTTTAAACAAAATAACATAATAACCTAACAATGATCTTTTACAAAAAGAAGGAAAAAAGTTGTGTTAATTTAAAATATTAAAATATTTTCTCTATTTTTATTATCAATTAACAAATAATATAAATCGCACGAAGTTAATTGGATCTCTCTTCAATCTCATTAGGGTTAGTGAATATATGGACAATGTTTCTGAGACCCAAAAGAGTATTATCGTCAAATTCTCTATTATCTAGTTTTCCGCCACTCTTAGTAATATCACAATATGCGTGAGCAAAATCTATGAGGGCAACTTTCATTGGAGTATTATTATTGTCGGAATCATATACAATTAAGAGGGAAGCGCTGTAAAGTCTACTTCCTGGGTACATTTCTTTGGCAATAGAAAGCTTATTTATTACATTTTCAACTTTGGCAACAAATTCCTCTTTCTTGTTGGCTGGAATAAATTTATGCATTGACTTGATGAAGGAATTCAATGATGCTTTCTTTCCGTAATTGCGATCCCAACGTTTAACTACATTGCCATCTTTGCGGAGCGAAACATCTATGATTCTTACAGCATATTTTGGTGTTGTTGATTTTGACATGTTTTGAAGTTGCTTCTGTTTCTTACTTTCTGGTACACCGATCTCAAATGAGCGTGTGCCTAATTTCAGATCAGCGATACAGGGACTTGTCATTCCAGAAGTCAAATCTTCAATTAGAAGGTATTCATTTCCATTGTATTCTGTCTTACCACAATAGCGTGGAAGGCACTCAACAAGAGGTGTCTTAGACATAACACGATAAAAATGATTCTCATGTTTGAATAATGGCTTAGCAACACAATCTATTCCAAGATGGCTATTCTTAGTCACAAGAAGCTGCCCATGACCTCCACCTTGGGTGTTCAAAGTCATAACTTCATCTTTCTTTTCATTACGAACGCTAGGTTTGTCACACTGCATGAAAAATGATTTTGATATCGTTCATAAAAATTAAAATTTAAAATTGATAAAATGACTCATATTTCATAAAATAAGAAAAATTTTTGGAATGGTCCAAATCGTTAGTTATCAAAAATTGAGATGCATCGTTTTGTGAATTTGAATGTTTCTTTCAAAAATCAATTTTAATTATCTAAATTTATCGATAAATTTTAATTTACTATGCCTACTTATACGAGAATTCGCATCTAAAATTCAAAGAAAAATGTTACATTCAAAAGTTATTCAAACTAAGTCAAAAATTCAAGATAAATATGTGATGTTTACCAATAAATTGGCTCATAAAGTAAGGGTTTCGTTTTGCGAAAAAAACGTACAATACGCAATTTCGCTAAAAAAACATTTAGCTAGCAATTTCGACCTTTGACTCCACTCAAGACGTCACTTTTTTAATTTTGCGGTATCATATTTTTGGAAAATCTTTATGAATATTATATAAAAAGTCTCTTTAATATCTATATTTCATATTTTTATCGATTTTTAAGGTTTTTGCGAAAAGTATTCAATTATTTTTGCTATTTGGTCGGGTAAATGTCAGATTTGCGACATTTTCTGATATGATATTCAGATTCTACGTTGATAATAATGCTTATAGAACCCTCTTGCTATTGTGTCAAAATTGCGAAACCGATAGCAAAAATATCTCGCAATATCAAAATTGAGATATTGTGTGAATTATGCATTATAGAGATTAAAAATCTGATTTGTGAAAATATCTCATCAGTTTCTAGCTAATTCAAAAATCTTTACTATCTTATTCGATTAAAATGAAAAGGGAATAGTTTCATTATGCTTTAAATGACAGCCTTATAATATAATCATAGTTTTCGCTCAATATGCAGCATTTTTTTTTCGAAATCTATGGTCAATATCCTAAATACTGATTGCTTTGCATTCATATCTCTTACATTTTCTATACCCACATCACTATTCATTGCTATTCCTATCTTTTTCATTTTTGTTTGTTTCTCATAATTTCTCAAAAAACATGATAACTTGATATTTGTAAATATCATACTTTATAACGTAAATAAGAACTTGACCTATTAAGAAAAGCAGTAATGAAAAGAAAATCTGAAATTCATAAAAATTACAAGTTTCTGATGACAATTAGCTTAATTAAACCAGGTACAAGATTATATAATTGTATTTTCTATCCAATTATCCATATAATATCTTATCCAGAAAAAATAACTTGATCAATACCAAATGATTTTTTAACTAGTAAATAAAGTATTTTCTTTACACACACATTGTATATCATAGTTTTTTTTTTTGGTTTCGCAAAACATCCAAAAACAAATATGCTATAAAAGTGACAATTTTAACAAAACGAAACCCTTTCATAAAGATAAAATTACTTTTCAATAAATGTAAATCTTCAATGTACGAATAATGTTCTATCGATGAATCGACAAAAAGTTGATCTCCTGAATATTTTTGTCCTAACGATAATTCAAACCAGATTTTTGAAAGATTATATTCAAATTTGATAAAAATTATGGTACTAAAAATAACCTATCATATTTTTGGCATCTTATTCAAATTATCATGTTTGGTCTTCACTTTATCAAAACATAATCGGTATTCGACTTTTTAAATTCAATGGCTGAGATGATTTTTAAAATCGTATTGCCATGTTACCTTCAATTCTTTGTTCATTTATCCTAATTACGCATTTTTTTAAATATTTTTTTTTCCATCGCCTTTTAGTATTCATTTCTGATGCCTGCTTTATGAGGATTCAAAAAGTTAATTACTGTTAGCACATTTTCATATTCATATCATTTTCAAAAAATATGAGTAAAATAGAATATAAAAACATTAGTTGTATACTTTGCATTTCACCTGTTAAAAGATTTAAATATGACAAATTAAAGTTTTCGACTGGAATTATTTCCATATAATTTTTTTCCACTTTCAATTCTTGATAACTGCGTATGTTAAAAAATCTCATAAGTAATTATTTTAGTTACTTCTCATGTTTTAAAAATTAAATGTCTAAGATCATTTTTCCATTTCAAAATTGAAAGGTTTAAAATCATGATCAATAAACGCTTTCTTCTTCAATAATAATCCAACAATCAAGTTTAAAGAAAATCCACCAGTTTCAAAAATGATGTTGCATTGCTCTTATTGACTTTTTTTCTGAGAAAGTATAGTAAAGTAATTCATTTCATTTCACTTTGATGCTTACGTCTTATAATAAGATGGCATCATTTGATTCACAATCAAAGTTGATAATACATTTATTCATCGAGTCCTTACGTGTTAAAACAGTAGTGGTAACTAAAAACTCCTCAATTAGTGTTCTGGATAAAGTTTGCAAAAGTGACAATTTTTTACCAAACTATATTCACAAGGGAATTCTTCTCTCCAAACACCTGCAGTTCAGAACATTTGATATTGAAAGCGAGGCCTGCATTTATGTAACAAATAATGTCGCAAAGTATTTCTCCAACAAAAAAGGATTGGATGAATTAATGAATCAGATTAAATCTGATACACGCTGCTCTAATATACAGATTAAAGCCTTACGTGCAGCAAACAATGGCTTTCGCAATGAAATGGACCGTCTTAATGATCTCTATAAAGTTCGTAATGAAACTATGATGATTAGAGCAATGAAGAGATCAATTTTAAATGAGCAGAATATTCCTATCAAGAAACAAGATAATCCTTTTTCAATTCCAAGTTCAGAGCTATCCAGAGAAGCACTTCCAAAGTTCTGGTGATAAAAATCGAATAGATATATAATGTTATAAAATTTGTATTGATATAAAGAAATTTAGTGTAAATGTTCTACTTTCTATGCAAAAATATAGAAGATCTATATATAAACTTTTTCGAATTATAGATTTTGAACCAGTATTTTATTAAAAATATAGACAATTAAAAAAATAATCTTGTTGGAAGACTACATATGCTACAAAAACTAGGAACAAAAGTTCGTTTACTCTGAATTTTTTTTAAAAATTCCTAAATTTTTATAAATTCTCCCTTATTTTTATTTTAGATTTTCTATTTACATTAATTATGGATCCTTCTTAATTATTTAGTTTTGCTTTGAATATGTTGGATTTTTTTTCTTAACATACCAAGCATCCAAACCGATAATCTTGCACTTTTTTGAAAGGGCAGATCTGGAAGAAAAATATTACCAGAAGAAACTGCTTGTATGTCAACATGGATAATTTATGTAAATTTTAATCAAAAAATATTGAATTCCTTCTCAATTTTTTTTGAAAATTTTGCAGTCAAAAACAAAAAACAATTATCATGATTACATCAAGATCAAAGGTATCACCGATTTTCAATATAAGTTTAGATAGAGTACCATGCCACCATATTCCACATATTATGCACTACAAATCCAGTAAAGAGACATTATCAAATAAAAAAGATTTACAGAGTGAAATTAAATTTCTTCAAGACAAATATGATACTGAAGATAAAGGAAAAGAATGGGTGGATAGAGTATCACATTTTGTCAATATTCGTGCAATTATTTCATTTTTTAGAGCTCTTGAACAAGTCACCAATGTTAAAGTGCACAGAGTTGTTAAAACAACATATTTATTGAATGTTTTTATATCTCATTATTATGAAAACCTTAGAGAAATTCTAGAAACATTTCGAGTCTTCCCTCCAACACTAGATTATAGATCAAACTCATATTCAGATAATCCATTTATTGAAGCTTCTAATTTAAATGATCCGCTACTAGGAGCAGCATATCTTTCAACAAGACTTCGTGATGAAGGAATGAAAATATCAAATATTTGCTATGCAAGGATTGGTAATCGAAATTATTATGTTGCAATTAGAGATCATGTCGGAATTTCAGAATTTAATTATCTCTTAAAGTCTAGAGATAAAGTTCAGAAGTCTTATATACTTAAAAGACCAAAAGATACAGATAATATACCAGATAATATACCAAATTTCTTCAAAGTCGAAAATCTTCTAAAACACCATATCATTCATGCAAGCAATGAAATTCCAGTAGTTTGCTAAAATACCAAATGCATATACAAAAATTTTAAGGAATTGTGTCTTTTTTTGAACCGTTTTTATTCAAAAAAAGGTATTTCATCTGAATCCTTATTTTTCCCAGAAAATGACAAAAATTTGAAGAGGATTAAAATGGAAAGTAAAAATAAACAGTAAAATATTGTAAAATACAAACATTTATCTTTATGTAGTTTTAATATTCTTTGTCTTATCAATTGTGGCCTAATTTGAGGAACATAATCTACTTCATTTATCTTTGAACTGAATTTTATTGAGATATAAGACATATTATTATGCCATTATCTATTTGACATTTGTCTATTCTTTGGCATACGACCTATAATAGATACATCATCTATATCTTGATCTGATTCTTCAAATACTAGATCTGGTGAAGTAGTTCCGTAAAAGTCGAGGGAGTTCAATGCCATACAATTCAACCCACCCGGAAACGGCTCAGTTTGCATAAATCGAATATATTTCGTAGAATATTTTTTATCAAATTTATATATTTTCTCACCACATCTTACAATTTCATAATCTCTGGAAACGTTATGAATTTCGGTCCAATTTATGTTGTCCTCTGATATTTGCAGAGACCAACTGAAAAGGAAACAATTAGCACAAGTTTTTTCAGTATACACGTAACAGGTTCCATGAGGACAACCACCTGTTCGTAAATAGTATCCAGTTATTTCAAATCTTTTTGATTTCAAATAGTAAGATATCCATGGATGCGTATTAGGATCATCCTCATATTCTGAACACCAATCGTACATATTCTCGTCTTGGTATACAGTATTTTCTGGTTTAGTCATTATTATATATTTTGATTTATTTATAATTTGCTCCGATGATCCACTTGCATTAACAACTATTATTGTATCGTTGATTACTTGCTGGAATATTCTGTTCTCAGTAATATTTGGTATAAGGGACGAAATGAGAAATGAAATTATAATTGTCACTTTTTACATTAATGTTTCCGATCCTTTCTCTTTGATAGGAGAGATTTCATGAGATTTTAGCAAGTCATTATAGTATCATATCTGGTTTTATTATGATATATTGGGCGAAAATATCATCATTTCCAAGATAATTTTCATGGCAAACATTGAATTCGAGAATATCACGAAAAGAAGTAGAAGCACAGCAATATTTATGCAAGAACAATCATAATATCACTTCAGTAAATGTTGCATAAAACGATAAAGATTTGATTTCTCCAAAAAGTCGATGATTTTATCATCCATCCTTTACTATTCTCCAATACTCTTAAAAATAGCAACTTTTCATTCCGTAATCAAGTCATGATAGTCCTATGCCAAAGTTATTACTTTTGACGGCCATATGCCATCTGCCACATACTTGTATTTTCAGCAGAAATACAAGTATTAGGGCCAACAAATACATATTATGTCATTTACACATGTTTACACTCATAAAATTTTTCATCATAATATAAAATTCGCAGATTTTTACTATTTTTTCTAAGATTTATAGTCTATTCGCTGAGTTATTGTTAGTATTATTGTTCGCATATATAAAATCTTCGAAGTCAGAAAAAGTCGATATGCGTCAAATGCTTTGTCAGATGACAAAGCATAAAAACATAAAGAAAAAGGTCTAGATATAAATAATACATACAAGTTTAGTATATAAACAAACAATTTCAAATAATAAGCCATCTAGATAGAACTTCAAAACATAAAATGTTCTGAAACTTAGTAGTAAGCTGGATCGGTCGTGAGGCGATGTCTTCTTGTGTGAATTTTGCGTTCCTGTTGGTCTTTCTGAAGATTTGATAATCTGCGAGCCATTGAATGGAGGCTGATTACTTGATATTCGAATGATTGTGAATATGAAGAATCGGAAGCATCTTGATCTGTGGTCATTGGGCTGAAGCTTGCACTTTCCTCTGAGCAGATGTCGTAATGGTTGTAGGTATTCATCTTAAATAATGAACCATAACGATACTCAGAATTGTTTTTCTCAAAAATCTCTACAATCATTCAGAATTAAAAATTTCCTCCATATGATTAGATTAGTGTATATAATATAATTATCCAATAATTATCATATTGTGAAATTAGTCACAAAATCTCATTGTATTTTTTGCCTCTTAATTTTTTATTATTTCTAGGTAGAATGGTAAGAAAAGCAAATAGTTTTTTGCATAAAAGAGTACACTCACTTTCAATTAATCACGTTATCTACCCCAAGCACACAATTTAAATTATTCAAATTTTTTATGTTTAGAATTAAGAAAGCTATACTAATAGGAGTGAAAATCTCACAAACATAAATTTCAATAGGAGTGAAAATCTCACAAAAATATAATTGCAACAATCTATTCAAAAGAATTCTTATCTGCATTGTTCATATTGCGATAATTCAGTATTACTATCATATTTTACTCTTTGCTTTTTCACTCGTTATTCAAATTCTCAATTCCCTTTTTGAATATAATTATACCACCTATCTAAAAACAATCAAAATATACTAAAATAAAAGTCAAAAGTCAGAATGGTCAAATGTTGTTGAAATTGTGAAAAATAATTTCTGAACAAAGTTCAAACAAAGTTCGCATATAGCATATTATAATCACTCATAAAATACATCATATTCGACTCAAATTGTTTACGAATTTCAAATCTTCAATAATTTTAGAAAAATTTCCACGTGATGGATTAAACACATGTAATATTGAATACTATTCAGCGGAAAAATGATACTTTTTATTAAGCGAAATCGCAAAATAAATTTTACAGGAGTTCAAATATGTTTAAAAATAATGTTCTCAGCTAATATCAAATAACTCTAGATTCATCAATTGCTTGCTAGAAGTCAAATCCTTACTAGAATATCATTTTCAATCGTTCATACAATTTTTTAAGTGAATGTATGACTTGGAATAAATACCAAACATAAATTTAAGATCTATGCAATTGATTTATCAGGAAATTATGTAACTGTATTGTAATTGATAGAATATGGGTTGATTACAATGCAATCGCCATATCCCTAGCTATTTTTAATATTATCATATATAACAGAAAAGGTTATATCCATTAATTTGAAAAAATTTAATCTTTTTTAATAACATTTTTATAATATTTTTATTTTTTTTCCTCTTTACCAGCCATCACCATGAAGATCACGACCAAATTCTTCTTTAGGATTAACCCATCTGTAAAATCTCTCTCGTTTTCTAAGACGCTCAACTTGATCTTTTGTCAACTCAAAATCAAGATGGTTATTCTTGTATATTCTTTCAGGAGTGATAGATTTGGCAAGAAGTGATGCTCCAGGCTCAATTGTTAATAGGAATTTTAATTCAACTTCGCCTGTTGTTCTGTTCAACTCATTGGCAACTCTAACAAGTTCTTCATCTTGAAGTAATACTGGTGCACCTTCTTTCTTAAGACCAGCAGTTCCCAGTGTTGAATATCCGGTCAAAATGATTCCTTCTTCGTGAAGATATCTTCTAAGAGCTGTTTGCTGCATGTAAAGATGGTATTCGACTTGATTGACATATGGTTTCAATTTGGCATCTGAATATTTTAATCTTTCGAGCTCATTAATGGTGAAATTTGATCCACCAATCCTTTTTACTAATCCTTTCTCAACGAGTTTCTCCATAGCTTTCCATGTATCAATGAATGAGCAGCTATCGTCCCATTGCAAAACTCCATCTTTTCTTGGGAACTTTTCTGGACCAGCTTGGAAAGCAATTGGATAATGCATGAGATACAAATCTAAGTAGTCCAACTGAAGATCAGCAAGCGTCTTACGGCAAGCAGCTTCAACATCTTCTGGCCTATGCTTAGTATTCCAGAGCTTTGATGTTATCCATATCTGGTCTCTCTTTATACCAGAAGCCCAAATCTTCTGCAACGCTTCACCAACAACGTCTTCATTTTGATATGCAGCAGCACAATCAATATGGCAGTATCCTGCTTCCTTCACAGCATATAAAATAGCATTAAATAAGTCTTCTGAGCGTGGGGCTTTCCATGTTCCAAGACCAATAGATGGGATTCTGTTCATAAATTATTGAAGTGAGCTGTAAAATGATGGGCGACCTTTCAATTTCTCAAATATTTTTGATAGGGTTTTGACAGGTTAAATTTTTATGATAACTCAACATATCCAAATCTCTTATAAAATTACTAAAATTTGGAGAAATAGTTTTCTAACGGGATTTATTTATTATTCCGTAACAATTAGGAAATAGACACAAAAATTGAATTCATACGGAAAATTTATGAAAAATTGCTATCAACCAAAGTTGCACAGCTTTATCGTATGTCCATATATACTGTAAACTATGTGTATATACTGTTTTCAATCCGAAAGTCGAATTTCTGATTGCTTTTTTATTCTGATATCTTACATTTCATCAGATACAAAAGATTAACCGAGTTAAATATTTTTGAAAACTTTTACTTAATGTGTATGAACCAAGATATTGAATATATAAGTGAAATTAAAAGTAATTTCAGAGAAATTCGATTAATTCCATATCGAACTTGGAAAGAAAACAAAAGAATTGTTACTTTGAAACAAAGACAATATGTTAAAAATAAACTTTACTTTGAATAAATAGAAAAAAAAAAGAATGAAGAATTAATTTTCCTTCCGAAACTAATAAAAATAATAAACAAGATTATTATATATAAACCAACTTAGTATGGGTTGTTATTCTGGTCATAAATACCATACTGGCTTTGATTTCCAGGCTTATTCTGGTAAGGATTGTATTGAGTAGGAGGACTGAAATAACTTGGATTTCCTTGGCTTGAGTAATTTTGTCCTTGAGTGTATGGATTTCCTCCTTGTTGTTGCTGGTTTTGAGGTGGAGTAACTTGCGAAGAAGGACGGTAATTAGAGTTATATGGATTGGAAGAAAATGGATCATTTGACATTGGCGGCTTTTGCTGGTTTGGATTATACTGGAAATTCCTCTGTTGCGAACCATATGGATCATTAGACATCGGCGCCTTTTGTTGTTGATTTCCTGGCTGTTGTGGATAACTTGGCTGCTGATTTGGTTTTTGAGCAGATGGATAACTTGGCTGCTGAGTTCCTTGTTGAGAAGATGGATAACTTGGTTGTTGATTTGGTTTTTGTGGAGAAGGATAATTTGGCTGTTGCTGTGGATAGTTAGGCTTTTGCTGGGATGAGTAAGGATCAGAAGGATAGTTTTGTTTATTCATTTGTTGTAATGAATAAGGATCATTTGGCTTCTGTTGTTGTTGTTGCTGCTGTTGTGGATAACCTGGTTTTTGTTGTGATGAATATGGATCAGATGGCATTGGCTGTTGCTGTTGAGGATAATTCATTGGTTGTTGAGGTGGTTTTGTCATTGGTTTCTGTTGTGAAGAGTAAGGATCATTAGGAACTGGCTGTTGTTGTTGTGGATAGCTTGGTTTAGCCATTTGTTGTTGTTGTTGCTGGGAATAAGGATCTAATGGTTTTTGTTGAGGGAACGGTCTTTGTTGTGTTGAATAAGGATCATTTGGAACTGGTTGTTGTTGTGGCTGAGAAGGGATTGGTTTTGGAGGTTGTTGAACAACTTGTGAAGCGAAAGGAGAGTTCTGAGGGGGATTGGCTGCTCCTGCCTGTTTGATTGTGCCTTCGCATTCAAGAATTGATACTTGGTAAGAGCATTCTTCGTTTGTAACAGTCGCGTCGACGTTTTGAAGAACAACTACTCCATTTTCTTTGTCAACGAAAACTTTCGACTGGAACTTCGTTTCGAAAGCCATTCTCTTAGTATCAATCATAGTACCAAGCATAAGCTTAAGACCACCAACTCGGCCTTGCTTGAATTTGCTAAGATCACGTACATGTTTGTCACTTTTTGGTGACACTTTTTGATCATTAAGAGTTTTAATCAACTGTTTGATTTGGAGGTCTTGTCTTTCAATGACTGCCTTGTACTTGGAGATTTCCTCTTGGCTGGCTTGTGATGCGTTCTGGAGTTTCTCCTGTAATTGGTTGATTGTTGCTGTTGAAATGTCACCTTTTGTTTGCATTTCTTCTCTTTGCGCGTTGTAGAGTTGCTCGAATAGAGCGGCCTTGTTTACGAGCTCAGTTTTCTCCTTGGAATGGTCTTCTTCGAGTTTGGCAATTTGATTTTCCATGTCACTTTTCTCTTGGGTAAATTTTTGCTCGTTATTTTGGATTTGAGTGAGAAATGCTGCTTCTCTTTGCTTTGATGCGTTTTGGAGCTCTTCGATTTGCTTGTTATGAATTTCTTCGGAAACTTGCATCTTGGCTTGCATTTCTTCTCTTTCCTTTTCGAATTGGACTTGATTTAAGGAAATCTTGTCTTGTAAGTTCTGTATAATCGATTGTGACGATTCTTTGATAGTAGAAACTTGTACTTTATATGATTTTTCTTGAGAAGCGAGAGAATTTTTGAGATCCGAAATTTCATTTTGTAATAAAATGATTTGATTTTGTAATTCTTGTATTTGTTGAGTATATACGTTTGCGTTTTGCTGTGGAATTTCTTGTGGAACTGGTTTCTCTTCAACAAGAACTGCTTCTTGAAGATTTGTATTTTGTGGTGTTGGTTCTTCTCCAGGAACAGTTGGAGCAGGTTGTGGATCGACCGTTTCTGGTAATGCTGAAATTTCAGTTAATTGCTCTTCATTATCATCATCTTCGAGCATTTGAGAAATTTCATCGACGGGTGGAGGTATTTGAGGTTGCTCTTGAACTGGAGGATTAACGAAATTCTCTTCTGATTGAGAAGCTGGTGGAGAAAATTCTGTATTTGGTTTAGAATCTGAAGAATCTGATCTGTAAGGCTCTGGAGGAATTGGTTCTCTTGTGATAGGTGGATCTTCGCTATCGAAACCTAATTCTTGAGCGAGATCTCTTTCCTGATTTTGTGCTGGTTTAAATAGATTTTCATCTACGGGCTGTGGCGGTTGAACTGGTTCTGGAGCAACTACATGTATTGGCTGGTTGATTGGAACAGGATTTTGATCATTAAGGTTTAATTCTGGTTCCGAGTTCATTCTCATCATCGAAGCGTAGGTACTATCGCCAATATTTTGTGGGTAAGATTCAACAACGTTGGATTTATCATCATTGCCGTTATCATAAGGCAAATTTGTATTCATAGCGCTACCGAAGTTATATGGATTTTCATATCTCGGTTCTGGATTGTTGTCATTCCACATTTGCATGTAAACTGGCTGAAATGTTGGATCGCCGTACGGATTTGCCATATATGATTGCTGAGTTTGAGGAGATTGCTGCTTTGGCTGCTGTTGCTGGTTTGGTTGGGCATTGCTAGTGCTAACATCTGAATAAAAATATGGATTATAAGAATATGCGTAGTTATTCATGAGAGATTTTTGATGCCTAGTTTTTTTGAAAAAAATTTCTGACAATTTTTAATTTTCGGTGATGAGCTTAATTTTCTGATCAATGGAAAACATAAATCTACATAGTATTTTCAAGTAATAGTCTCAGATTTTTATAGATTTCCTTCGCTTTTCTCAATTCGGCTCAAAAATTGAGACAAGACGGAAAAATTATAAATAAGATTCCGATAATTCGGAATAAAATCGTTCATTTAAACAAGGACTACACTTATCCATTAGGTAATTGATTATTTTTCTTTCAAATTTTGAATTTGATCTAAATTATCGTTATCGTCTTGAGGATCCGATGAGAATTTAAAACTTATGAACTGATTATGATCACGTTATTCATACTATCAGACATACATGAATGCACAATAGTAAAAATGGGCTTTTGAATGCAATTTTGGAATATTTTGAATATTTTTTCTTTCATAAGAAACTCCATAGAGGACATTATTTTAAATTATAAACATACATGATATTTTACAATATATTTTCTTACAAAAACCTAATATAATCGTTGAAGATTTTTTTCGATTATGGAAAACAAAATCTTGGGCTTGCACTTTCTGTGTAGTAAACAAATAGGTTTTTTGGAGATGATTTAAGTAATTCTAGAGCAACATCCATATCAATTCCATGCATATGGAAAGAAACGCAAGATTCAACTCGTATTGGTTTCAAATAACTAGAGTTATAATGCATTCTATAGTATTGTGGACATTTAACAAAAGATGTGTAATTTTTTGTTAATATTTCATCGATAAATTCATATGGCCAAGTTGCAATGAACCTGTCTGAAGCATTTTCACTTATATTTATACCTAGAAAACTTTCTAACATAACACCTAATGCTAAGTCATCATTTTGGATCGGGCAAATTTGATGGAACTCATTTTTGTATTTATACAGTTTTTTCAATGCACCATGTGATAGAAGGAATCCACCACCTCCTTGAGGGTAATAGTTACCAGCAACTTCATGGGCTCCGTAAACTGCAATTTCTTCTTTCATTGGATCATGCGTTTTCTCGATGTTTTTCAGTAAATCAGCTAAATTTGTTAAATTCAAGAAAGTATCATGAATTCCTCTGAAGTACCACTTAATTTCTTTGTGATGAATCAAAAAATGTTCCCACCCAAGGAAAGTTCTTTGACAATAGATTTTATCATTAATTTTATCTATATATGCGCTCTTTGGTACAAGACATTTCGTGATATTATTTATTTTGAAAGGTGCATCAGAAACGTAATGAATTTTGCAGTCTAAATGCGGATTAGGAAGCTGAGTTTCCCAAAACTTGCCTCGAAAATCTTTCTTTAACTTTTGATTAGCTCCAATAGTGATATAAATTGCTATTGAAGTCAGAAAATCGTCTTTCTTTTCATTGGAATATATTACTGAAACACAGTGGTAAATAATTATAGTAACTAATATGATTGTTGCCATATAGAAATTTCTAGATATAAATACATTTTTCTTCATTGAAAAGGTGACAGTTTGAAATTCGAATTTCGGAAAAAAGTGATGGATGGAGTAGCTCAAATGTTATAGCACCATCTCTACTTCTTTTCAGAGTATTAGCTAATGCATTTACAAGAAGAATATTTCAGATTTTTCATGCCTGCTATATTATTTTTTAATATTAAAGCGATTCCATGCAGGGAATGACAAGTATTTCGTAACGCCATAAAAGTTAACATGCTTGCATAAAGAAAATTACAACGATTTGAAAATCAAGTTTTTTTTTGTAAATATATCCATACTTTCTCATTCTGCGATTCAACCTACCTCAAACACATAACGTAAGACGCAAGATTACTTTTTTATTTTCGGATATAACAATATATCAATTTTAGAAAAATATAAATTGATTTGAAAATACATTTTGGAACAATTTTGTCTAAGTTTAAATATGTTAGGATGGATAAGAATAAAAACATAAATTAGATTTCAATTTTTGAAATAAAATTTGATATTTTTGGGAAAATTATTGTTTCTCCATTATTATTTGAAAGTACATCGACTCATAATTTATAGGTAATAGAAAAAATGAAATCAAATAAAATCGATGAAAAAAAGCAAAAATATCTGAAATTTATAGAATGAAAGTAACAAATGTTTGATTTCAATAACAAATCAGTAGTATTAAATATGTTTATTCACTTTTGAGTTCAAAATTATCGTTTTTTTATAAAATAAAGAAAAATCTGATGTGTGTTGATAATGGATCGTTATTTTATTGAGGATAAATCGATTTGAGGGCAATATTATCAACCTTTTCAGAATTTTGGCTACCGGGTGATTGAAAACTTTTTTTGATAGAAAGTAGCCAAAATTGAGGCTCTCTCACATCTCATCATTATTCCAAAATGCTAAGTCTCTTTGCATCACACGCACAGAGTCGAGCCAACTTCTATGTCATGGCGACTCTTAACCTTTTAGATGGCAACCAGAACTTTGTCAATCAAGGACAGTTCGAAGGTTATCTTAACAGGCTCCGCGATGCCGGTGTTGATGGCATCATGATTGATGTCTGGTGGGGCAGAACAGAGAGATCCGAGGGCAACTATGTCTGGTCCGGCTACCAGCGCGCTTTCGATCTCATCAAATCACGCAACATGAAGATTATTCCAGTTTTCTCATTCCACCAGTGTGGAGGCAATGTTGGTGATGACTGCGCCATTTATCTTCCAGATTTCATCAGGAACTCTAACAAGAACCCATTCTTCTACGACCAGGATGGCAAAGTTGACCAAGAGTACATCTCCATTGCATACGATGACATCGCAGTTACACCAGCTGGAAGAACACCACTCCAGTGCTACAAAGATTGGATGAACAGTTTCAAGCAGACATTCAACAACTACCTCAATGATGGCTCAATTGTCGAACTTGAGATCGGTCTTGGTGCATGTGGCGAACTTCGTTATCCATCATACCAAGCATGGAAAGGCTGGTCTTATCCAGGCTGTGGTGAATTCCAGTCATATGATTCTGAGTTTACAAAGCAATTACAACAAGATGCAGTTGCTGCTGGCCATTCTGACTGGGGTCATCACCCATATAATGTTGGTGACTGGAACACACAACCAGGAGGCTCCGAATTTTGGCGCGATGGCACATCCAACGGCTGGTCATCCGCATACGGCAGATGGTACATCAGCTGGTATGCTTCAAAGCTCAATACTCACGGCGACAAAGTTCTCCAGATTGCACGTGAAATCTTCCCAACAACACACCTTTCTGCAAAGATTTCTGGCATCCATTGGTGGTACATGACATCATGCCACTGCGCAGAAGCCACAGCAGGATTCAACAACTTCTATGATTATGATGGTTACAGAGACATGATGGCAATCTTCAAGAAGCACAATGTTGATGTCTGCTTCACATGCCTTGAGATGACAGCTGGTGGTAATAGTTCTAATCCACCATACCTTGTTGGCCAGATCTTGAACGATGCTAAGTGGGCAGGTCTCAACTTTGAAGGTGAGAACGCTCTTGCAGTCTATGATTGGGGTTCATATCAGAGGTGCATTGACTGGAAGAACAAAGGCCTCAAGACATTCACATACCTCAGAATGTGCGACACTCTTGTCTATAACAACGACAACTATAACACATTCAAAGGCTTTGTCCAGCAGATGCACAACTGAAACCAAGTTCTCCATTGAGGACAGCATCTTAACTTTTTTTTAATTCCTTTAATAGTTTCGAATCGGAAATTATAATGCTTATCCAAAACTTTTATCTCAGTTTTGATTTTGCCAAAAGCTTGCCCATTGTGTATTAAGCAACTCGTTTTATGAAAAGATATATACAATATCGACCTAGAACTAAAAATCCAATGATTCTAAGTGAAAAAGAAAAAAAACTTAGAACCATGGTATTCGAACTACATTCCTTCAGTCTACCTGTTTATTCCACTAAGCTAAATCTGACACGTAAACTTTTTTTTAAAACTTTTGGTATATGATCCTTCCCCCCGGACTTGATTTAGCTAATTTCGAATTCCATAGGAGTTTTACTAATATAAATATACTCTATTGACAAAACCAAAACATATCCTCTATTTCAAATTCGCATAAATTCTTCTACACCGCTATTTATTTTTAAAATCAACATTTTTTTGAAATTTTTCGAAAATCAAACTTAAAATTGAATGCGATTTTCAAGATCTCAAAACTCAGCAGACAGATTCGAAAAAAATATCAGCCATTTGTTTTAGAATCATCTAATGACCATATCCCCAAAATTAGAAGCAAATCGGAATTGGGAATCTTAGTTTTACAACGTTTGCTCTTTCTGTTTTCATCATTTCATTTTATAAACGATAAAATTTTAGCAAAAACATGACTAACGATTATTTTTGATTGGAATTTGATAATTTCACTTTCTTAATGACATTCATAAACCCTTAAGTTGTGATTACTCAAACATGCTATGGAATCAAGTTTTTCTGAGATTTCATAAATTCCGTCTCATGCTTTTTGCCATTTCACATTTCTAATTTTCTTCATATTTTGAATTAGAATATTCATTTGAATCAAAAATATGTAATAAACAGAAATTCATCAAAAGTGACGGCTCTCAATTTTTTGACATTTGTAAATTCTAAATTGAATGAGAAAAATGAAATAATACTAAGCATAATACAATATTCTAGATTTAATTATAATTAGGAAAAAGTTAGTTTTGAGAGTACTTTTCATAGGCATATAGAATGAAATCTTCTGAAAAATAATATCACATAAACTCATATTATTTTCTAATATATAACTATTTTATATAAAAATCAAATTCAATGATCTTAAAAGCGAAGGATAAACCTCAAAATTTACGAATATAATGAGTGGGAATATAATGCTTATCTATCATAAAACCATATGAAATATCAATTTTTGCTTTACGCCTAATTTTTGACGACAATTAGCAAAAAATGTTAAATGTTAACACTCAGTCCATTTGAATATGAAAAATAAAATTGACTTTGATTAAATGTTTTTATTTATCATGCAATTCTTCTTGCGACCAAAGATTTGAATAAAAGTTCAAAAAATAAGATAGCTTAAAAATAATATACGGTAGTGTTTACTAATAGATGAATAGTATATAAATTCTATTAAAATGGATTTGATCCAAAAAAATATATAAAATTTGATCATAAATAAAATCGTTTTAAATTACTTCTTCATTTAAATTATAACAATTATTTTTGGTTTTATATTTTTTTGGATCAAATCCATTTTAATAGAATTTATATACTATTCATCTATTAGTAAACACTACCGTATATTATTTTTTAAGCTATCTTATTTTTTGAACTTTTATTCAAATCTTTGGTCGCAAGAAGAATTGCATGATAAATAAAAACATTTAATCAAAGTCAATTTTATTTTTCATATTCAAATGGACTGAGTGTTAACATTTAACATTTTTTGCTAATTGTCGTCAAAAATTAGGCGTAAAGCAAAAATTGATATTTCATATGGTTTTATGATAGATAAGCATTATATTCCCACTCATTATATTCGTAAATTTTGAGGTTTATCCTTCGCTTTTAAGATCATTGAATTTGATTTTTATATAAAATAGTTATATATTAGAAAATAATATGAGTTTATGTGATATTCTTTTTCAGAAGATTTTGTGTTCTTCTTCAAAATTTTATTTTTTTATTAAAAAGAATCTTTACAAAATATACATTTACTTTAATTAATATTTAAAAACGTGCTCTATCAAAAGTTCCAAAAATTCAATATTTTAGCTTTTCTGAGGTGTCACTTTTGATGAATTTCTGTTTACAACAAATATATTATGGATATTTCAAACCGAGCCAGTTTGTGCAAAAAATAAATTCAATCAATTTGAATTCAAACTTTTACCCAAATGCATTTGTACAAATGCAAGGAATTGTGATTTATATCATTTGGGTAATAAAATCATAACTGTGATAAATGATATTTTTTTTCAAGACAAAAATGATAATGCCCCTAATATTTTTCGCATTAGTTTTCCTTACTTTTTAAAAAATATATATTTTTTTATTAAATAGTTAATAATATTTATTTTTTACTCTATTTGAGCGCCATATTGTCTAAGAATGTTTAATAAATTAGAATGTCGTGCAAAGAAAAATGGTTTCTTTGATGGAAGTCCAAAATTGGGATCAGCACCGTAATTGAGTAAATATTGAACATCGGACAATGAATTTTGCTTTAAAGAATATATTAAAGGTGTATTCCCACTTTTGTTCATCGCATTAACATTTAAACCATGCTCGACACAGTATGTAATCAGGTATATTGATTTTCCTTTACATGCTGCCATGAGCAGAGTTGTTTTATCATTCATTTCAATATCAATTTTTGCGCCTTTTTCAAGAAGATATTTAATTCCGTCTTCGAAGTCTTGTTCTGCAGCTTTAAATATCGGGGTTGAATTTCGGCTGCTAAGATGATTAACATCGGCTCCACCATCAACTAAATCTTGCATCATATCAAGATTCATTCTTTTGGCAGCATAAAATAAAGGAGTTTTCTGATGATATCCTGGTAAATCCATCTCAGCTCTAGCATTCAAAAAAAGTTTGAACATTTGATAATTCCCATTCTTAATTGAGAAAATTAATGGAGTCTTATGAAAATGATCAAAAGCGTTAACATTCGCACCAATTTCTAATAAGCATTTCACATTATTAATATCATCTTCCATGGCAGAATTAAGAAGGGGTGTTCTTCCTTCGAAATCTTCGTTATCTATGTAAAAACCTTCACTCTTTTGTAGAATTTTGAGCGATTGAGTGTTTTTATATTTGAGGGCAAACCAAATAGCTGATCTACCATTGTCTGTTGTTGCCATACAATTTGCTTTGTACTCGACTAGAATTTCAAGCAATTCATTCCATTGTTTAGAACTTGCATAAACAATCATTGGATAATTCAAGAAACTAGTCATAATTTCATTTGGATTTGCACCGAAATCTCTTAACAAAAATTTGGCAATGGTATATAAATTGTATCTAACACATATCATCAAGCAAGTATCATTCCTTACATCTCTTTCATCGATACTTTCTGCTCTCTGAATTTTGTCAAAAAACAAATCGAAATTATATGTTAGCATTGTTTGTTCCCATGTATAATCAATCTCGTACTTATCAATTAAATATCTAACAGTTTCGTTGTGATGGCCAAGAACTGCATTCTTAATGCATTGTTCATTTGTTTGGAACTTTTCTTCGCACATATGAATAATTTCATATGAATTTCCAAGAAAACTTGATTCAAATGTTGATTGACTGATGTTGCAACCATTTAACAATAGGTACTTAAAGCAATTAATCGATCCATTCCTTGCCGATAAGTTGAGCATCTTATCATCAAAAGAAACATGACTTTCTGCACTACTTTTTTGCAGGCCTTCGAGGTCGTCAAAAATGATGCTTTTATCAATTTTGTCGGAATAATAAATATCGATAATTTCATCAATAGATTTGTTTTGGTATTCGTCAAAGCTAACAAAAATGTTATCTGATTTCGAAATTCCGCGTTTTCTCCCATATTTTAGATGCAAAATCAAGTAAATTAAATTATTATAAATTTTAAATCCTTGGGGAAAAGAAAATTCCGGAACCTTGGCAAAAAGGAACGTTATATACTGAATAACGGCCTTTACTCGCTTTAAATTCCTATTACTGAATGAATTTATCATATCTGAAATTGTATAATAAGAAATTAAACCTTTTTTAACAACTTCAATGGACTTATCCAGGATTTCTTCAACATTTTCATCATCAATAGTCCAAAAAAGTTCGGTAAAATCTATTAATTCCCTAAATTCATCAAGTAACTTTTCCGTATCCATTAATTTTGTCACTTTTTAAAATTTCGATATTACAAGTCAAAAATCGTATCACATAATGGATATCTATCAAACAAACGACATTTTCATCAAAAAATAATTAAAAATTCATTTTCAAAAAGATTTTGATGGAATAATTTGTCCATTTTACATTTAATAAACAAAACAAACTTCATAGAATTAAGCTATGAATAGTTAACTAATTCTATGAAGTTGAATACTCAAGGAAAGTTCACTGATTATCCAGACTTTGCAGAGACCTTCTTTGACATACATATATATAGCTTTTGACCACAAAAAGAGGGGGATTCAATATCAATAGCCTTTTTTGCACCTTTTGAACTTATAAATGCAACCCAAAATTTTGTGGGATTATCTTTATATGGTGTTACACGCCCAATGTCGCCATGTTTTTCAAATTCTTTGAAAATTTTCCTTCTAGAAATGTTAGGCGGAAGGCCATTAACTATAACTTCATGTGCAGCTCGAATTCCAAACCAAAATGCAACAATCTTATACTCTTTTGTTTCTTTATATGACATGCTTCTTCTGAAATAATTGGCTTTAAAATGATCAAGAAATTCAATTCTTGTAGAATAACTCTTTTCGCTTTCTTGTAAATCAAAGCATTGGAAAGATATATTTTCCCCACCAGAAAATTTTGAGATCCAAGTTTTAATTACATTCATAGCATAACATTTTGCTGGTAGTTGGTTGCTATAAGAATCGCTAGACTCGCACTTATCAAGTTTAAAGAATACGCTTGTGAGTGTGGAAGTCATCAAACAATAATAAAATGATTATAAAATTTTTGGAAGACTTTTCATTCAAAAATTTCAATAAAATTTCCACAAAATTTTTTCCAATTCAATAAAAGTTACATATAATGTGTAGGCAGAATTTACTTGATTTTTAAACTTTTATAAATCTCTTTGAATATTTTTTTTCCAACACAATAAAAGTGACATAAAATGCTGAGAGATGATAACTAGGCTTATAACACTTTTTGTTGAAGCAATTGCTAAATAATTTCAATGAAAACTAATATAATCGAAGTATTAAATACTATTCCATGCTAAATCATTATATTAGGAAATAATTGAATTCTTAGGTCAACTATCATCGTTTGTTCTATATTTCAAGGTAAAATATCCGATTTTTCCTATATACATCAGCTATAATGCACTATTATGCATAATGAAGCAAATAAAATAAAGAACGAGCTAAAAACATATTAACCTTAAATTATCGTTAAAATCATTTGTAATAATGACACCAAAACTACACCGAATTAACAGTTAAATTTCGAAATTCGACGATCGTCAGATTGAAAAATTGATTGGTCACAAAATTTTGTAAAAAAAAATAGTCGAATCAAGCCGTTTTATATGATTAAGCTCACATATATCTACAAAGCCTAAAAGGAATAATATTGTCTATAAATTCTTGTCTTTGTCTTATTTTCATTAAATTTCTGGAATGAAGAAAGACCAATTATAACTTTCAACAAATGATATAGCATTCATTCAAATAATACAGGAATCTACAAAAACATTCATCTAGATTATTTATCATTTAATTTTTTCGATTTATTTTTATTGAAAACAAAAAATTATATCGATTCAAAGTTCATTTTACTATAAATATTATTCACACCAACTAATGCATGATATCATTCATTTAAAAGCAAAATATTTTGTCACTATTGAAATTTTCTATTTTTACAATATTGAAAAATCGGCAATTTTATATGCTATAATTGAATAGGAATAATATCATTCGATTAAAATAGGTAGCTTTTCCTATTTTTAAATTTGCACAGGATTAAGCTGAGGACAATTTTTTACAGAAAATTTGACAATCAATAATTTTATTTTCGAAATATGATAGCGCTATTTCAGTCCTCCCTATTGTACCATTATTTGAACCCTTACAACAATGCGAAGGAAATTTCAAAAGAGATTTCCATTGGATGCGATAGTTTTAATAATAATCAAACAAAAAACAATTTCGTCAATTAGCGCACTCTTTACAAGCGCACAGGATTAATTGCATTTCGTTTACAAATGGCTAAATTCATGAAAAAATACTCACAAAAATTGAATCAAACCATTGGCCTTTTAGAGCAACGTAATCATTCAATATAGTCGAAGACCGATTAACCAAATCATCCTTATATTGACCCATTCACGAACTTTATCGTTTATATCAAAACTGTCTATCATTTTCAATTTCTATTAATATTAGCATGATCGCAATAATAATGATGTACAAAATCAACACATTAATTTAAATTTAATCCACCGTACTCCTTCTCAAAAATTTAAGGCCCAATCACTATTTGAAGAATGGGAAGAAGCTTCTCTCTAAAGAGTTCAAAAAAGAAAGGGGTCAGAAATGTACCTAGAAAGTTCTTGACTCCTGATGCAAAGCAAAAAATCGAAGAAATTGCAACAATTCTCAACCACAATACTAGACAAATTAAGGAGTATATCAACATTAAGACTACAAATAAAAATAACTGCTTTTCTAGAGAAGAAGACGAGATCGTTCTCAATTGTGTGAAGAAGGGGCTCAATTCTCCTGGAAAGATCAGTAAAATTATTGGCACAAAGACTTGTTGGATGGTTAGGAACAGAATACTCTATTTTAAGAGAAGAATTGATAATTTGGAAACAATAGCTATTCAACATTTCCTCAATCAGATCCATAATACAAGTAGTTCCAGCGATTCTTTTGATCCGTTTGCCATTTTTGAACAATTTTCTGAATCATGGGATACAGAAAATATGTCATTTGGATGTGGTATATTCAGCTAATAGATTTATATGTTTTGAAATACTGAAAGGTATCTTATAAAGATTATTTATGTTTTCTTAATTCATCGTTATTTTGGGAATTTTGATAAGCTTCTACTGTACCATCGATCAGCATAATACATTGATTTTAGATCCAAAGGAATCGCTTGAGTTTGCTTTAACACCAATTTTCTCGATACCCAATTTCTCAAATCTATTTCTATTGCTATCGTTAAATTAATGTATATATGTGTCTTCACGGAATATCAATCATTTTACTTTACTTTTTATCAATTTAAGTTCCTGTGTGAAATGAATTGAAACATTCACTATTCAATTTAAATTTGGCTATATTATATTATCGATATGTCATATTCTATCTAATGCAAATAATTTCTTAAATTTTTTAGTATTCAAATCCATTCACCACATCTGATTCTATTTTTTGATTTTTTTTTCAAACTCACTAATTGTATATTTTTAGATGAAATATATTGGTTATTTACTTTTTATCTATTTTGATTCAAAATAAAATTTTAATATCAAAATTCATATTTTTTGTTTTAAATTTGAAATAGAATTCTATTGCTTTATGAAAACCATTGTTTGAATTTCGTATTTTGAAACACTTATGGAAGGAATAAAAAGACATCATACTTTGTCCTAGAATATGACGTAAATAGTTTTGTAGTCAAAAACTATGAAATATAAATAAATTGTTTAGGAACAAATTCCGTGCATTCGGATCATAAAATGAATTGCAGCGTTCTGGATTTTTAATCAATTGAATAGCCTGGAAATTTAAGACTTTTTTCAATTGAAGCCATCAAAAACCGTTCCGCATTTTCAAATATTTGAATTGGCAGCCTTTTTTATTGAAAAATTGAGTGCAAATATCCAATCATTTTTGATATATGTGAGTCAGCATGAAATATTCAATATACCTATTTCATCATTTGGATCAAATTCAGTTATTAAGCTGTCAATAAAAGAAATTTTCATATTAATTGCATGACAATTTATCGCTGTAATGCATCTACTCAATTATTTTATGAATATATCATTTTATAAAAAGCAGAATTTTTTCTTATGAATTCCATGTAAACAATTCTTGTAATCTACTAAGTTACTATTTAAGGAATCTTTGATCTTTATTGTAATTCCCAGGATTCACTTTCATAAAACAAATTTGATAATTGAGTTGTAAGGAAAAATAAAGAGCTCCTAAGAATACAATAAAACCAGTACGATATTTTTCAACTGATTTTAAATAGACAAGCTCACCCGATAAATTGGCGAATCAAATTAAGATAAAAGCCTCAGTTTTTGTTAAATTGATATTACAAAATGTGCATTTATATATTTCAATAACATTTGGTTAATACGAGTGCTTTTACTTTATTTCAATTCGAAATTCATTCCATATCTCTTAATAAGCAGGATGAATATCATACATTTTTTAGAATAGAAAATGGGCACCTCGTTATTGAAGCTTCATGGAAGATTCGAATAAACATGACATTTGTAAAGAAAAATGGATAATGGCATTTCCCTTGATCTTGGAAGAAGTACTAGAAATTCATATATTGCCCTTTGCGTTTTGGGCAGTATAGGCAGTTATTATATGCGTACTTTATTTTTTTCTCAATATTCTTATTCATTTCAAGGCTGCTCAAAGGAAATTTTTAATCGACCATGGTTTGCAACATTGATTATGTCTCTCTGCATGTCATTATGCCTTGTTATTTACATAATATGGAGAAAATTTTCTCCGAATTCTGGATTCAGGCTCAAGGACATTCCTTTTAATCTTTATTTATATGCATTATTACCAGCATTATCAGATCTCGGATATTCTCTCTTTTATTCTTATTCGATATCACATTCTGGTACAATATCAATTGCCCTACGTTATTTCGAGCTATTATTTGTTGTTATTGTTAACTATTTTGTGTTTAAGCAACATTACTTTGGACATCAATGGTTTGCTCTAGGAATAGTATTTTTAGGCATCGTCTGCGTATTCATATCAGTTATCTTAGCACAAGATTCAAATGAGAAGATAGTTGCTTCAGCTATTATACTTCAAATTATAGCTCAATTAGCACATGCATTTAAAACGAATTTCGAACAGAAAATTACACATAACAACGATGTTTCACCATGGTGGCTTACAGGAGTTGAAGGTATCTACCAATTTTTCTTGATATTTTTTCGTGTTCAACCCAATCGCTTATATTCTTCCACAAGATAAACTTTCCGTGCTACGTGAGGACTTTTGCTCGTCATTCATGATGGCAGTTCATTCAATTGCCATAATGGTTTTGTTTTTAATTTACATTCCAATTTCTACGACATATAACGGATGCTTGATCGGAACAATAGCAACCACAAATGCTATTACTTACACCATTATCGAAATGATTGGATCATTCCTTACATGGATTGTCGATCTCATTATTTATCATGGATTTCATGGAAAGTTCATCCTGCACTCAAATGGAAAGATTTTTGGAACAAAATGGACAAAATACAGTTACCTGCGCTTGATTGGCTCTGTAATTTATTTCATCGGCTTCTTAATCTACTCAGGAGTAATTAAGTTTAAGTGCTTCACGTATCCCCAATCAAATGTACGACTTATGCATGTCAATCCATATGAATCTGGTAGTAGTGTCGAACAAATAATTTAATATAATTTTTGATTTGATTTTTTTTTATTAGTAAAAGCATTTATATTTACGGAAATTTATTTAATATGAACATATAAACACATAAAAACATTTTCTTTCCTTTCTTTATAAAATGTAATTAGAAATTAATGAAAAAGAGTCAGCGTTCGATAGAAATAAATGAAACATTAATACAAAAATATGAACTGATCTGTTTTTAAAGTGTACAACGGTGCTAAATCACTATTTAGTTCTAAGAGGATTATAATTTTGGAGATCTTCTTTCTAAATGATGATTTTTGATCCATTACAGTTAGATATTTGAAACATAGCAATCATTTCCTAAAGAATTAAAACTTTTCCTATTATTTTGAGATGTTTTTCATTGAATTATTTTGATTGTATCCATTTCTATCACTTATCTTTGATTCAAACTATTTTAAAAAACTTTGCGTATAATATAAACTTTTTTTACAAACATAAAAAATAAATTAAAATTACATAAATGTCACATTTCTATTCATACTCTGCTGAATGAACTTTTTGAACTCTTCATTTTCCAATATATCAATCTTTGATGAATCTTTTTGATTGGTTTCTTTGCAAACTGGTTTTTGATCAATTGATGCTCCATGTTCAGCCAACAGCTTAACAATCTTACTAGAAAGTTGATTGACAGCCATCATTAGAGGCGTTAATCCATCATTAGACTTAATATTGATATTACATCCCTTATTAACTAAAGGCGCAACATATTCATACAAATTATTAATTACAGCATAATGAAGAGCAGTTTTTCCTTCATTGGATTGTAAATTCAAATCTGCTCCGTATTCAATCAATAACTGAAAGATTTCAAATCTTTGGTAACAGACTGCCAGCATCAGACTTGTTCTTCCGTCATTCTGCATTGCATTAATATTTGCATTACAATTCAAAAGAATTCTGACGGTTTCGTAATTTCCATGAAAAACAGCAATCAACAAAGCAGTTCTATCATCATGTGGAGATCTAACTTCTGTATTAACATTCTGCAACAAAAGTCTTCCAAGTATTCTATGGTTATTGTATCGCACTGCAACCATCAACGGTGTATAACCCGTAAATGTTTTTGCTTCACAATTTGCGCCATAATCAATCAACAAACAAACAGCATCAAAATGGTTATTAAAAGAAGCAGTTAATAGAGGTGTCCAACCATCATTGATGTATTTTTCTGTGTCTGCTCCTCTTTCAAGAAGGATTTTCATACAATCTAAATGATTGTTAGCTGATGCACAAATAAGAGGTGTAAATCCTTCACTGGATCTGCATTCAATATCTGCTCCGCTATCAAGAAGTATCAAAATGGATTCATATGATTTATATCTACTTGCAATTAATAATGGACTCCATTTATAATTGTCACTTTTATTGACATCACATTTTCCACTTTCTGCCAAAATTTTTACGATATCGTAGTAGTTATATCTTGATGAGAAATAAAGAGCTGTTTTGCCGTCATTTGTTGCGAGGTTCAAATTGGCACCTTTTGACATTAAAATTTTGACAATTTCGAAATTGTTGTTTTTACATGCAATCATCAAAGGTGACAAACCGTTATCGTCTTGTAAATCAATGTTGGCACCTTTCTCAAGTAAAATACGACAGCAGTCAATGGAATTACTCTGACAGGCGTAAAAAAGTGCCGACCATTTTTTGTTGTCAACATCATTTATTAAAGAACCTTTTTCTAGAAGTAAATCGAGAACGTAGTAGTGGTTTGACATGGAGCATGCCATCAAAGAATTAATGCCATTGTTGTCTTTTGCATTAACATTTGCTTGATGGTCTAGAAGGACTTGAACAACTGAGAGGATTCCGTTTTTTGATGCGGATATTAGCGCTGTTGAGCCATCGCTGTCTGCTAAGTTGATGTCTTCTACTCTGAATAGCTTTTCGTAAAAGCCAATTAAATTAAAACAATTTAATGTGGAGCTCCAGCTGTAATCTAGGCCATATTTGTTGATTAAGTAAATAACTGTTTCATTGTGATGTGATTCAACAGCATTGTTGATGCATTTGCTAGAAATATCAACAAATCTTTCACAGATATGTATGATTTCGTAGTTGTTTCCGAGAAATGAGTTTTCCAATGTAGATTGCAAGATATCAATATTGTTTAGGTACAAGAATTTGAAACATTTGAGCGAGCCATGCCTTGAACATAAGTCGATTAGCCTCAAGCGACAAGTTTTCTTGTCTAAATAAAAGTTCGGATTGAGGCAAATGTCTTGAAATTCATCAATTTCGTCCCAGAGTAAGTTGTGTTCGAGTGTTCCCTTCTCATATATTTCGTAAATTTGTTCTTCTGTCTTATTTCGATATTGATGAGGAATGTTACCTGGGAAAGCTTCGTTTAATATCAATGCAGCCTGAAATGCTGGGGATTTGCTTAAAATATTCTGATCAATTTTTTGATTTAGTAATTTTAGGTATTGTAAGCAGAATTTTGTAGCTAACTTTACATTCTTCGGATATTTTTCGCAATATGAGTCGAGCATTTCTATAATATTCCGATCAGTCAAATTATGATTTTGAATATTTGATTGGATATAATATAAAATTAAGTCCATGTTATTTTCATTTAGTCCCCATATGAGGTCACACATACTTATCGAAGCAATATATTGAGGTGAAAGATTGGAAGTGCTCAACTCGAATTCCATCGAACAATCTTTCACAAAAATGCTTTTTTTGATAACATTGTTTTGTGGGAAAGCCAATTTGTTATATTTATAGATTCTTTCATACTTTAGGATCTATATTTTTTTCTATGGTTCAATCAAAAATGTAAAAGGTTATTGAAAAAGCCACATTCAGAAAACTGCTAATAATTATTGTTTGATTATTATTTTTCATTTGTTAAAACTAGGATACTTGCTAAATTTTTATCAAAATGAAATGAAAAACAATGAATGAATTATTATCAACGGATTCGTTTATAGCTACGAATCGATAAATTAATTCTGATTAAAAATACTCGTTATTTTTTCCCAAATTGTTAGAAATGCGTTGATATCAAATTGTAAATTTCAAAATGCAATAATGCTATAATTAATATCTCAAAAATATAATTACTTTTTGAGAATATTCAATTGAAAAACATTTTTAAGGCCGATAATTTTCTTTAGTTTTTATTATCATAATAGTAATAATTACATTCAGATAATTATAATACTTCACAATTTTAAATCATTCAATTTTAGCTATTTTAGAATATTAGAAGCCCCACTGGAATTGCGAGTGATTATTAAGCTCAAAAATGAAACTTTTTATCAATTAATAATTTTCCAACATCTTGATTTATGTATTCGAGCATATATTATAGTTAATTCATGAAACCATATTATCGTCTGATTAAGACAATCATTTATTATTTAAAATGATATTTTTTCTGATATTTGTTCTACAATTGCGCAATTGCCCATAGACTATTATTGAATACTTGCAAATGTTTTAGAAGTACAATCATATCTTAAAGGGAAACTTCCAAAAGCCATTTTTTAAAAAATTTCAATTTTTGTGTATAAGTTATAGGAAATACAAATGCATATTATTATAATATACAATACATAATCATTATGAAATGCTTATTAACAAAACCAAAAAATAAATTAGAAAATTTCATAGAGATTTTTTTTACAAAATATGATTCAAAACAATAATTATCGCACATTTTAATTTTCTGCATCTACAATTCCAGTATCAAAGAAATTCTCAGTTTTATCTTTCTCTTCGAAATCTTTGGCGAATGGATCATCATCCATCATTTCGTGGGTAAATAAAGGATTATCAACTGTTACAGATACATCAAGATCAGTGACAGCTGTTATTGTTTCTGCATTCATCTCGATAACTGAGTCATCACTATCATCATCACGCTTTAGCACGATGTACAGGATAATGCCAGTGATAGCAAGAACTTCAAGGGCAGCCAAAATAACAAGAGTAATAAGAAGAGGTGTTGTTGTTTTCTTATTAGGTTCATCTATTGTAATTAATTCCTTAGTTGATGATGTTGTTGTATCTAGAGTATTATTGGTAACTGAAGACTCGGTCTCATTATCATCTTCAGGTGGTTCAACTGGAATTATAATTGGTTTATACATATCATTTATAAATTCTTCAAAAGGAAGAGATGTATTGCATGGACCTCTGGTAATGTTATACCTTGCGCCACCATCGGCTGTTAACCAGTTTCTGCGAATGAAGTTATTTGTAACGAAAATTCTATCGACTGTTGGAGAAATCAAGTATCTTGGTGCTAATGAACCACCATAACAGAGATTTGTTAAGTAAGGAAGATTTGCTAGAGAATCCTGTTCTGCATCAACAGTTCCAGGAACAACAAGTGTTGTGACACCATAATCAATTATGCTTCCATTGTTTTCATCATAAACAGGATGAGAAATAATCGAGTTTGCTGCAATTGATCTGACTTCTCTTGGTAGGATATAAACAGAAGGAAGTTTGCCGAAAGTGAAAACGAGTTGTTTAGTATTGATATCGAGAACTTCATGTTCAAGAATCTTGAAATTCTTGTTATCACCTATTAGCAATTGAATATCATCGATTCCAGAGAATGCAGTGGAGCTTATGAATTTCATCTGTTTTTTGAGTTCAAAAGTTTTGATGTTTGTGAAAGCAAAGGCCAATGGTTCAATTCTGTTAAATTTATCTGGTAGTATTATTTCCGATACGGATGATTCATGTAAAAATTTAGTTGGAATTGTTTTAAGCCTAACATCATCTGGATCAGTATCAATAATTGTCACTTTCTTTAAGTTCTTGCATTTTGCTAACATTCTTTGGGATAATAAGCCAGGCTTGAGCTCTATTTCTTGAATAAAAGTATTCATAAAAGCTTCATTTCCAATTGATTGGAGACTTGCTTTATCAAATTCAATATTATTCAGTTTAACACAATTAGAAAATGAATTTTCTCCAAGATCCTGCAATTTATTTGGTAGTTTAACAGATACTAAATTCGGACAGCTATAACACAAACTATCAGTTGTAGGCTGAGTATTACCAACATCATAGCTGAATTGGATTGATTTTAATGGTTTACAAAAAGCAAATGCTGAACTTAATGTTTGAATATCATGATTGATTATGATCGTTTCTAAATGAATTGCTCCTGCGAATGCGTATTTTTCAATTGCTTATACATCATCTGGAATTGTGAATGATGTTCTTGGATTTGATGGGAAGTAATAAACAAGCTTATTAATATTATTATTATTTTGATAAAGAATATCATCTTTTCTTTCAAATCCATGAGTATTTCCTCCATCTATTGTAATTGAAATATGAGGAGAATCAAAGAAACCTAAATTTTTGAAAACACTGAAATCAGGACCTAGATAAACTGATTCTATTGTTGTAACTCCAGAAAATGCAAATTCAAGCATTTGATTATCAATATAGTTATTATTTAGTCTGATTGACTTTACTTTGGATTGATAAAATGCATAATTAGCAATACTTCTTAATGACGTCAGATCTAGTACTGTTTCAGATACATCAGTGTTTGCGAATGCATATTTAGATATAGATTGGACAGGGCTTGTAAAAGTAATTGTTTTGAGGTTTGTACATCCACAAAAAGCTTTTGCATCAATCGTAGTAACGCCGCTAAATGTTACTGATGTAAGATTTTCACAATTAAACAGGCATTCATATGAAGCTTTGTTTATAATTATTACAGTCTTAAGTGAATTACAAAAAGAAAAAGAATTTTTATCGCAAGTTATTGGATCATTAACAACTAGAGATTTGCATTCACTAAAGGCATATGCACCAATAGAATACGGACGTGTACATTTAGACAAATCAATAGACTCTAGAGAAAAACAACAACGAAATGAAGAATCCCAAACATCTGTTACTGACAATGAAACTTCCTTTAACGATGTACAGAATAAAAATGCTCTAGCCTGTACTTTAACACTTTCATTAGTGCCAGTGACAGATTTCAGATTGTAACAATTGCTGAAAGCTTAGGATGGAATAATTCCTGTTGTTCCAAGATTAACTGTTAATAATGAAATACATTCGTAAATGCATTCATCATTTAATGTAACAGACCCTGTTATTTCAACAGTTTCAAGCTGTGAACATCTTTGGAATGCGTTGGATTGAACGTTACAATTATTTCCAAGAACAACTTTTTTTTATTTTTGAGTTTTCAAAAGAATAAGATCCTATTGTTTTGGCATTTTTCAGGTCAATGTTCGCAATTGATGAAAGAGAAAACGAATATTGCGAAATTGTAAATTCAAACTCACTTTGGAACAAAATCGATTTCAATTTTGGACAAAGCGAAAAAGAACCGAGCTGATCACATTTTTTGATGTTAACATTTTCTAAGTATGGTAAATATGCTGAAATTTGTGCAACATCGCAGTCAGACAAGAGAGTTAAATTGATAACTCCTGAATTTGAGAAAGACTCGATAAAAGAGAGTTGAGGAATTTTTAAATCTTTGTATTGGCTACAGTAAGCAAAAGAATTTGGTCCAATATTGTTGACATTTTCGAGATTGATTTTTTCTATTGTCGTAAAAGCAAATGCATAATCGCCAATTCCTGTGAGACCTTGGTGAATGGTAACTTCTTTAAGTTTTTTACTGTTATAAAAGCAGTAATCGGGAATTTTAGTAACTTGACTGGCGTCAATGTTGACAAATTTAACTTTCTTCAGACCAACGAAACTAGGTATCTCAGTAATAGAATCCCCTGTGATTTTAATAGTCTCGATGCTCTTACTTTCAATTTGCTGTATTAAGTTTTCGCTATTTTGAAAATCATCCGCTGAAGAAATTATCATTGTTGAACCATCTATAGACGGTTCACTATTAATTAAAATCTTTTTGCTGATTAATACATTCAGAATCAAATGATCGAGCATTATTCCTAAAAAAATAATTGTATATGTAAATAACTGCAATTCAGAATTTTTTTAACCCAAAAATATACCTTATAATAAACAAACAATGTTATTGCTTTTTATAAATTGAAAAACCTATGAAAAATCAATACTTTCAATAATAACAACTTTTTTTATTTAAATTTATATATGTGCCATCAATTTGAACAAGTCAAGAAATTTTCAAAAATTCAAATTGACAAGCTTTTTTTCTGAAAATTTGAAGTAATTTATTGAAATCATGTCCCTCTGGGTATGTTGATTTGATCTGGTATAAACATTTCTAATCCAATATCTAACAATTTTCAGATTTTTGAAAAGAACTTTTGAATGGCTTCGAGTTTTAGTTGTTTTAATCAAAGAATCATACTTTTATAAAATGATAGAACATTATCTTAATATTTTAGATTTCAGTTGATGTCAAATATTCTCTAATTGAAGGATTAAATTTTGATCCCATCAAACCATTCTCTAGGGCTGTACAAAATCGAGAAAAACATTGCCGTGCGGTAATATAGGGTCAAAAAAGTCGCGCCTCGGCGGCTCCGCCGCCTCGGCACTATTAAGTGCGCATTATATTTAATACGTCCTTCTTTTTTTTTCTTTTTTTCTTCTTCTTCTTTTCCTTTCCTTCTTCCTCTCCTTCCTCTTCTTTCCTTCTCCTTCTCTTTTTACAACAACGTCGAAGATCTTCGAATTTGATTGTTGGAAAAGCATCTATTTCAGATAAAGGATGCCTTTCTCACAGTCAACATACGAGGGTCCTGGCTGAAACGTTCTCAAAAAGCCTGAGATGGTAATTCTCTGATCACTCATAGCTGGGCAGGTAGTCATTGCTGACAATACCTGTCTTTATGCATGCACGCTTTCATGTATATGGGTTTACACTATCAATTCGCAAAGTTGTTCCGAATTCTTCCAAAATGGAAGGACCCGAAACAACTTTGCTTGTTAACGATACAGACGCATTACTTTGCATTGATACTGTGCTGAGTTGTGTAGAAAGTTTGATTAGAGTTGTTTTGTTCTGGTATCTCTCATCTTCTGATGAGAGAAATCAAAGCAAAACAACTCTAATGAATTTGTTTTCACTCATTTGTATGTAGGTTTTTAGTTCGATTGGAGCTGCTTCATAATGAGATCTCTCATCAATTGATGAGGGAGATCATAACAAAGCAGCTCTAATGTATATGCTCGTATTAACCGGGTTGTAATGCGTTGTAACGTCAGCTTGTAGTTCGTTTGGGGCCACTTCACATTGAGATGAGAAGAAATGATTAAAGGACTCTGAAAGGCTTTGGCCGTTGATGTTGTAATCGCATTACTTGGAACTAGCTGGATGCTAAGCTGTGTAGAATGTTCGATTAGAGCTGTTTTGATATGATTTTTCTCATCATAAGATTGGAGGAATCATAGCAAAACAACTCTAATGGGTTTACCATCATCTACTTGTATGTAGATGTTTGGGAAATTGTCTTGTTAATCGATTTTCGAGATGACTTTCAAATGCTATAATCAAATGACAAACAAGTCTAAGATTTCTCGACAATACATCAAATCATGATGTTTGTAAGTGCGATGAGATTAGAGTTTTTGAAGGAATGACAAGAGAAGTAGGGAAGCTCGGCATTCGCCGAGCAAATTAAAAATTAACGTATGGATTAATTTTTAAGAGGAATTCAATTTAATTACGGGTTGTTCAAATATTGATTAATATAAATTTATTAATAAGAATAAACAATTTTTGTTTTTGAATTTATTCAATTTATAGCTTTACATATAGTTTCAAAATTGTACAACTATGATTATTTCAACAAAAAATATCTTACTTTTTCACTTCACTTTCACCCTCACTTTTTCCGTAATTCAAATTTCAACATTATGTATTTTAATTCCTTATAGTATTTTTAACATAATTAATCAAATAATAATTGGAAGTTCTGAACTCACTTTTTCCGTAATTCAAAATCAAAAATATGAATAATATATCTATTTATTCTATACTAATGCTATTTTCAACTAGAAGTGAGGTACGGTAATCTTACGGATTCCCGTAATTCAATTTTACGGAAAAAGTGCAGTAAACTACTCAATTTACGGAAAAAGTGTCGTAAACTATTGATGTGGCGGTAAAATCACGGTAATTCACGGAAAGCTATATGCGAAAATTTGAAATTATACAAAATCGAGCGAAACACTTTTAAATAGGTTGTTCTCGTATTTCAAATACTATTCCCAGATTTATTGTCGTCAGAATATTTCCAAATTTTTGCCGATTTACAAAAAATGATTTACAAAGCATATTTTTTAATCTAAAAAATTCCTAAAAAAAGGAACCGGTGTGCGGAAACCTTGGTAAATTACCGCGGTTCCCGTTGGGACTGCCATACCATTCTCCATCTAACCATATATACTTATATAATTTTGATATTTTTTTTCGGTTAGCGATTTAATTTTTGCTTTACATTAAGAAACGATCTCTCATATCTTGCTTCAAAACTTATTATCCAAGAGTATAATTCTTTCATTTGAACCGCAAGATGACGAATCAAGCATTATTGTTGATGAAAATAGCAATAATGAACAACTTGCAATTCAGATTTCCGAAAATGTTAATGCAAAAGTCATTGTTAGTGGGGGATTATCCGAACTATCACAATTTTCAAGCCTCTCGTTAGCAAAAAATATCGAAATTGCATCGGCAAGTATTACAAATATTCCTGACAGCTTTTTTAAGAATGATAAAAACATAATTCGTTTACAAATACATGAAGATGTCGAAACCATTAATGATTATGCGTTTTTTAATAGCTCTATCCAAGAAATTAATCTTGCACACGTTACATCTATCGGTAGTTATGCATTTTTTAGGTGTAAAAACCTTAATTCAATTGTTGTCAGTAGTACATTAATTGGAGATTTTGCATTTTATGATTGCTCATCCCTTACAACCATTACTAATCTCAATCTTGCAACAAATTTTGGAGAATCTTCTTTTGGTAATACCGGAATAACAGAGATTGAGACCGGTGAAAGTATTTATTCATTGAAATTAAGTGTATTTGAAGGATCTCCTCTTCAAACTATTACTGTTTCCGGCGAAATTGAATTTGATTCCATTATTTCTACCCTCAAAACTGTAACATTCAGAAATGCGATCTATAATTTGGATATTCATAGAATGAACATAGAAGAAATAAATTATCCAGCGCAAAATACACATGGAATAAATTTTGAAATTAAAATCACTGATTGTCCTAAATTAATAGAGCTCAAAAAAGGTTTCGGATCTGTAAGCAACATTTTTAATTTGGAGAGCTTAAAAACAGTCGATTTAACAACATGTGAATATATCAATTCAAATTCATTTTTCAAATGTCCAAATTTAGAAGAGATTATAGGTTGGGGTGATCATGAACTGGATGTTGGAGAACATTTATTTCAGTTGTGTCCAAAAATAAACATAAATACTTGGACAGATAAAATTGTTTCTAGTGCAACAGAAATATTAATAAATACTGCAATTAAAGAAATGCATATTACTGGATTGAATAGCGATTTACCATCATTTTTTAATTGTAGAAAGCTGAAAAAAGTTATTTATGCATTAGATATACGCTTGGAATCTTTAAACGGAATGTCATTTCTATATTGTGAGAGCTTAGAAGAAGTTGTGCTTCCAACCCGTGTTAATGAAATTGGTGAAAGGGCTTTTGAAGGAACAAAAATTTCATCATTCGACACAACAGGAAAAATCTTTAGACTTAATTCATTTAATCATTCATTAATAAAAGAATTGTGAGTAGATCATGAATTGAAGGATATTGAGTACAAATCGGAAATTCCAGCTGAATTACCGAAATTGCAAAAAACTTGTTTTTGGATCATCTATTACACAAATAAATACAGAAGTATTTGAAATTTGTATCTTACCAAGCTTAAACGAAATTGTATTTGAAAGCGATCAATTCAAAACTGTAGATGGTATTGTGTATAACGTAGATCAAACTAGTATAATTCTCTATTTACCTTCAAGAGACAATAAAGAATTTGAAATACCTTCAACTATTACAAGTATTGGAGAAGGTGCTTTCGTTTTAGCCTCGAAACTTGAGAAGATCACAATAAATTTTGTTCAACCAAACATGTTTTTCAGATCAAAATTTGTTAAAGTAATCAATATAACATGCCCAATATCAACTTTGGAAGAATCAATGTTCAAAAACTGTACGAATCTCAGAGAAATCATAATTCCTCAAGACTCAGTCATTACATCAATTAATAATGAATGTTTCTCTAATTGCACGAGTCTTGAGAAATTAACGTTTAAGACAGATTTGCAATCACTTGGAGTTAGATGCTTCTATAACTGCCAAAAACTCAAAGATATTGATATCTCCAAAATTTTGATTGTTGAAGAAAGTTGCTTTGAAAAATGCGGAGTTGATTCATTTAATATTTCAAAGATGTCTAATTTAATTAAGATAAATAGTTATGCATTCATGAACACAAATATATCAGAGGTAATTCTCCCGGAAAATGTGATTAGTATTGGTGAATCAGCCTTTTCAAACTGTCCAAAACTAATAATACTTAAATTTAACGAAAAAATTAGACAAATAGGTAGTTTATCATTTGAAAACGCGAATATTAAAAACGTTTTCATTCCGAACTCTCTACTTTATATCGATGAAACAGCATTCCAAGGATGCTTCCATATTGAATTTAGTTTCAGTGATGAAAGTCATCCAATTTTCCACACCTATAAAAATTGTTTCATGAATAAGGCTGATGCAGTTATATTCATGTTTGGTCCGTTGACAAACAGAATTCCAGATGGAGTTAAAAGGATTACTTTATCAAAACCAGGATATTACAGGAAATCAATAAACTCTGTTCTTGTTGATGAATCAAAAGATGTCCTTATAATTCCACAATCAGCTACATTTTACTCTGTTGAAGAACGAAGTGGTCGAATTTGCGTTGAAGGACCTCTTATTTCGACAGTTTCAGATAGTCACGACTATGGAAAAGCAATAGAATTTAAAATAAAATGCGACTATTTAGATCCAACTCAGAAATATTTGAGAACAGGTACATACAACATAACATTTAGTGTCGATGAAAGCGAATTCGATCCAAATCCAGAATATTTTGTTATAGAAGAAGCTCCAACTGATGCGACTCTAGCAGATCTACAAAACAAAAATTTAGCATTTGGTAACTTTGGAAATTCCACAATTATAACGATTCTAATGTGCTTTACAGTTGTTTTAGGAGTTATCATTGTTTGTCTATTATTTGTTTTGTTTTTAATTAAATAATTCTGGTTTCTATAAACAGATATCAATTTTTAGGGATTGAAAAATCAATAACATTCAACAACAAAACTTTTTGCTTAGTGTCATGTACAAATCGCCATAAAATCAAATCAGCACTACAAAGATAATGAATAGACATTATATGATGTTCGCATTAGTTTTTATACGATAGATATTTTCATAACAGAGTGAAGAAATTCATAAAAAGAATCCATAAATTAAACTTTTTTTTTAATCGTTACTAAAAAACATGAGTAAAATATGTCCATTTTTATGCATTTGGAGAATTCAAATCAGCATAAAAAGCTTCATTTGGTGGTGCATCTTCAAAGTCTTGTGCAAATGGATCATCCTCCATCATTGTGCTCATTGTAAACAAAGCATTATCATGAGTAATTGTTGCAGTAGGATCTAAACCAACAGTTCCCATCACTTCTTCGTCCATTTCTACACAACTTGAATCAGAATCATCGTCATCTCTTGACTTTATAATGATATATGCAATCAATGCCGACATCAGCAACAGTTCGACAACTGCTGCTACAATCAATCCTAAAGTCATGTTTGATAATCCGCTTCCCTTCTTAGAATCAATTTCATTAGCCATGAATTCTGATGATAATGAAGTTGTTGCTAGTTCATTAGATGAAGATTCGGTGATATTAGATGAAGATGAAGGTTCTTCTGGTTCAATGATTTCAGGTTCATTGAAATTAATACTCTAGAAATTCTATCAACGCAAATTAAATCGATACCAAGAGAGGCCTTTGCAAATAATCAAAATATCCAAAATGTTAAATTGTCCGAAAGTATTACGACAATATCTGAAAAGGCATTTTTTAACTCTACTATCTCCCAAATCAATCTCAATTATATTAGCACAATTGAAATTGAAGCATTTTGCAACTGTTCCGATTTAGAATCAGTTGATCTATCAAGCATCCAATCATTAGATACCTCGTGTTTTGCAAATTCATCATTGATCGAAATTAATCTCCCTGATAATCTAACTTCAATCCCTAGTTATGCATTTTATAACTGTTTCAAGTTGACCTCCTTCATTTCAAACTGTAATAGATTTGAATCATATGCGTTTTGTAATTGCACTTCACTTAAAATGTTCAAATATAATTTTAAGTCATTAGAAAACATCGGAGCTAATGCATTTCAAAATGTGCCAATTGAGGAATTTTCAGTTAAGATTGAATATCTTTTTGACTCTCAACTTTTAGAGTTACCAATCAAAAAATTCATTATTTCAAGCCATCTTAGTAGCATCGATTCCATGCAGTCTTATTCTGATAACTATGGATCAAATCGTTACTATTTCGAAAAGTATTATCCTCTTCTAGAATCGATTGAATATACAACTGATTCAAATTATATTTTATTGGTCAATATGGAACAAATTGAAGAAATAGATACATCAGATGATCCGGAATCAAGAATTTCTGTTTATATTGCAAGATGTCCAAAGCTCAAGAAATTGCCAAATAGAATAGAAAACCTTTTCTATATTGGCGATTTACCTGAAATAGAATCTGTTGATTTATCTTATTGCAAATTAATTAAAAGAAATAGTTTCTATAATTGTCCAAAACTGAAAAATGTTATTGGATGGGGAGATCACGAGATGAATGTGTATCAAAGTTTATTTGTCCTTTGATTGATATTAACTTATGGAATGATAATATTAAAATATTGAAGTTCAATGCTCATGAAACTTCTACCCCTCTTGAGAACACATATATAAAAGAATTAACAATTAACTCAAGAGAGATGCCAGGTTTTAGGAACTGCAAAGAACTAAAAAAAGTTACGTTCGTAGAAGGTTGTGGACTTAGTTATGTAGCAATTAATGGTTTCCGTGATTGCATAAGCTTATCCGAAGTAACATTGTGCAGTTCCATTACTTCTATTGGAAATAATGCATTTACAAATACAAATATTACAAAAATAGATCTTACTCATGTAACTTCTTTAGATTTATCGGCTTTTAACGGTACAAAAATTAAAGAACTTGTGATAAAAAGTAATATAGGGTGTCCAAAGGTGCGTTTAGCACAGCGCTCTATATGAGACTATTAAAGGAGATATATGCTGATTATAAATATATAATAAAAAATATGAATATATGTATATGATGAGTATGTTGTATTTTGGCGCCATGCCGGGATATAAAATGAATTTTGAGACAAGAGGCGGTTTCGCGGGAAATTTTGGCGGGATTTTTTTCATTTTTTTAATGAATCATAAAGAAAACATCCTCGCTCTTGCAAAAAAATGCAAAGACTGTAAAAAAATCTACGAGACATTGGTAAAATGCTTCGGTATGGATGCTCCTAGCTATTCCACTGTAACGTATCATGTTAGGATGTATCACTTCATGAACAAAAAGGCGCCCATCATAAAAATTGACAAAAAATCGCCGGATCAAAGAAAAATCAAAGCAATTCTTCAAGCGCTAGATGAAGACCCAAGAGCATCACTCAGAAGGATAGAGGAGATGACAAAGATACCACGTACAACAGTCAGTTATTATCTGCACAATTATTTGAACTACAAACTAGCGTATACACGTTGGGTTCCGCACAACCTTAATTCGGTTCAAAAAAAATCTAGAGTCCAATCTTCGAAAGAGCTCCTCTCTATATTGGGTGCGTATCAATCCAAGAAGTTTCGCTTTTTAGTAACAGGGGACGAGTCTTGGTTTCAATATGCAACAGAAGCCAAAATCATGTGGATCCCGAAGGATGAAAATCCGCAAACATTCCCGAAGAAAAAAATTGACACACCAATGATGATGTTGTCGGTTTTTTGGGGCGTGAATGGCATCATCGCAATTGATATTCTTCAAAAACCTAATACGATGAATGCTCAGTATCTAATTGACAATGTTCTTACTCAAATTATCAATTCTGATGAGTTTGAGAAATCCAAACAACAAAAACAAAAGTTTGCAATTCATTTTGATAATTCAAGAGTTCACAAAAGTCATAAGGTAATGAATTACTTGGTGGAAAACAATGTCAAAGTTGTTCCAAACCCAATTTATTCACCTGATATTGCACCCTCTGACTTTTATTTATTCGGCACGCTAAAAAAGAGAGCTGAAGGACGCGAATTCGCGAGTCCAGATGATCTTGAAAATTTTGTAAGAGAGCAATTTGAGCAATTTTCTCATGATGATTTAAAGCGTGTCTTTCAAGCCTGGATCGATCGTTGCGAACGCGTGATTGAATCCAATGGTGATTATATTTAAATAAACTTTATATATATGTAACTTGTTTATTTCTATTCGCAGTATTCAGGTTTGTGCTAAACACACCTTTGGACACCCTATATTTATCCGCAAATAGATCTTGATTGGCAAACAGATAAGCCAATATGGAGACTTTCTAATCAGAGTATGGTCTGTGCAAAATATGTTGAAAAAATAACAATCACAAGTGATGTTTCAGAAATTGTTGGTGGGTATTTAAACACACCGTATTTGAAAGATGTTGTTCTTGTCGATAACAATAACCTTGTATCTATTGATAAAGTTATTTATTCCGCAAACAAAGAAAAACTTTACATGTATCCAGGTGGTTTAGAAGCCAAAGAATTTACAATTCCAGATCATGTTAATTATATTAATCTTTATGCATTCTCATATGTTGAAAATTTGGAGAAAATCATAGTTGGACCAAATGTAAAATTGTCAGATGGAATGTTCGCATTCTGTACAAGTCTTAAATCAATAGAAATAAATAACAATACCATGTATTTCCCTGAAATATGTTTCGCATTCTGTACCAACTTAACATCAATCAAACTGCCTGATAATGTGGTAATTTCTCGTTTACATAGATATTGTTTCCAGGGGTGTTATAGTCTTCAAAGGCTTGATTTCAATAATAAACTTGTTATTGTACAGGAAGGTTGTTTCCAAGAATGCCGCTCATTAGTTGACGTCGACTTTTCTTTATTGTATAAGATTCCTGAAAAATGTTTCAAACTTTGTGAGATGGAAAGAATAAATTTGCATATGAGTGGAAACATGAAAACAATAAGTCAGGAAGCATTTATGGATTCAAAACTTGTTGAATTCATTTGTCCAGAGAATTTGATGATCGTAGAAGAATATACATTCTCAAATTGTACATCATTAAAGAACTTTAAGTTCAATGATAAAATTGCAAAAATTTGCGATTCATCATTTTCAAGTGTTGGATTAGATGAATTGTTCATTCCTAATTCATTGATGAACATTAATACTTCAAGTTTCCGCGATTCACCATTCATTCAGTTTAAATTTAGTGAAGAAGGGCATCCAGTTTATTATGTCGAAGGTAATTGTTTTATGAACAAAACAGGTGGGTTGATGTTCATTTTGTATAGAAATGGAAGCTCATATGAAATTCCAAACCATGTTAAAATAATCAGCAAAGAATCAATTATGGATGCAAAATACTATCAATTTGTAATTAACTCCGATACTACAGACTCATCATTCTTATATTTCTCTGACTATCACCTAAGGATATGTGTAACAACCCCTAATTATGTTAGTTACTCAAAAGAAGATTGTCAAATGAAAATATATGACAGAAATAATGTTGATCGCTATGCAAAGGAAGGCCCTTATGAGCCAACATATAAATTAAATAATAATCTGTACATGGAAGATTCATTCCTGCACGTTTACGAATCTATTACAGATTCAACACAAGATGCATATAATGTAAATCAATCTCTTCCATTTTTGGAGAGTCTAAATTCGTATTCATCTCTTCTTGCTGTTCTCGTGTCTTTAGTCTCTGTTTTACTTGTTGTAATAATAATTCTTTCAATTATTGCTTTGAAAATAACTCATGAATAAATAAATATCATTCAGTCGTATTGTTTGATTATTACATAGCAGTGCTAAAATTTTTTAAGTGATATCAGTTAGTATACATATCTCGTGTACTGTGGCACTGCGTTCCTCCATACGCAATACTTGTGAATTTGACACTTTACAAAACCGTTAACGTATATTTTACAACACAAACACAAACACCAACTTAACCTTAAATATTTATAAAGCCGCCAACCACTTCACCTCACTACTGTAAAAAATAAACGTTCTCACTTACAAAAGTATTGCAACTCTTCCCATTGCTGTGCTTCACACAATAGTTCATATTCTTCAGTATCGCTGCTGTCGCTCCAATCGTCAGAGTCAAAGTCACTGTCAAAATAAATGTTAGTAAGTTTTGACAAAGCTAATGAAACACGTTTACCGTTTGTATCGTATGCTTGTATAAACTTTCCATTCTTCATTCCTTCATAAACGCTCAAACTAACTTTACCCTTTCTCCCTCGTATCTGATAGAATGTATTTTCACGAGGAACGAAGAACAAATTCTTGAACTCATGACCGTTGTAGTTTGTTATCTCAATAGTTTTCGTCATTTATATAAAATAAAATAAAAAATTATATAAAAATAAACTTAAAATTAATGATATCACCACCCTCACACGTATGAAAACATAGCGCAAAAATAAATTTAGGTGAAGTGGTGAAATCTCACCTGTTTTCTCACCTCTTTTTTCACCTCATGAATTCATTGCTTTATAACTCTCTTCCTTGGTTTCTTTTTAGTTGCTTTCTTCACGTCTGTCTCCAACTTGACTGTCTTTCTTCTTCGTCCGTAATGATACCAGTTACTTCCACCAGTCAATGGGTCAAATGGTCTTTCGTAAGGATTTCCATACATTCCATAGGGACCATACGGAAGAACTACTGGTGGAGGAAGAGTTCCATCGACTCTATTTAAATGCATTGTTTCACCTTTCATCTGGTCATTAAAGTCTTTTGCGTGTTTTGAAAACTCATCGTCCTTTCCTAAAGCATTTTCCGACTCAGTCGCAACCAAATTGGATGCTTTATTTATGAGCCCTATTTTATTTAATCTTAACTTCTTTGCAACCCAGCCTCCAATCTTTCCTTTATTTGCATCTAATGTCTTCGAAACTCTTCCTCCACTCATTTTATTTACTGCGTCATAAGCCCCAAGTGCTTTTGCTCCAAATGCTAATGCTTTTGTTCCCATTGCGCCTAAAGCTGCCCAAGCTACCATTTACACCATATTAAAATCATCTCTCTTCAATATTATCTCATAAAAGTTCTCTTTACTGGAGAAAGTCAATGAAACATAAACATTCTCATGGACTTCGTCCTCGCCGCGTTGCGGCTTCATAAACTTCTTTCTTATCTCATCTATACGCTTCAAAATGTCTGAACAATTGCTAACATCTTCTACAACAGTTATTTCATCATGAATGACCTTCAAGAACAAGCTCATTTAATATGCAATTAAAATCATCTCAATAATGAGTCCATCCTTTCCATCTTTAGGTAGCACAACATCTTTCATTGAAGAAGGTTCAACAAGTCTTATGTTAAACTTACTGACAAAGTTTGTTATACTATAATGCTTCGGTGGCGAATACATGTAGTTTGAAAGACATAATATAGATTCTTCAGCAAATTCACTTATACTGGATTTTATAACAATGTTCTCACGAGACCAAATACCACCAATTGACAATCTTGTAAGCAATCCTGCTGAACCTTCTACTGTAAACATCGATGGTAACATTCCACGAAGGTCATCTATTGACATCGTTGAGTCACTGAATTTAAATATTTTCTTAAAGCAATCGTCATTATCTAACCATGCAATAGCTTTGAAGTTTTCATTCGAATATACATCTGCTTCATTAAATGTAAAACCTGACTTCTTTGCAGAGATGACTTTAAAATCTATTGAGTTTGTTTCAAAATTATATGCTATGGTAACTTCTGAAGGTAATGGATGCCCTTCCACAGTCAGTTGTTCTCTCACTACCGTTTGAAGCTTTGTGTTAAAAACTTTCATGTCATCTCCTGTGTCTAGGTTCACATACACAGCAATGGGAAAACTATCTTGCTTCTTTGTTTCATCATTATACCTCAAAACATTAAAGTTCTTCAATAATATTGTCCTTCCTGCTGGAATACTTCGAACCTGTCTGATTTCAATAGCTTTCTCACCTCCTACATACTCTACCCAGTGTCTTGGATATTCATAAGTATACTGACTTTCTTGAATTTTGGTTGGTTTCATCATAACATGTTCATAGTATATCTTTATACTCTTGTCAGTTAGACTCGGTGCTATGTTCTGAATATTTCTGACTTGCATTTTTAATGGAGATAAAATGAAGCATTTAATACATGACGTAGATGAAGACATGAATGAAACTACAGACAAACTTAACTCTTCTCTCATTCTTCCTTTCAGTAAGGACTATGAGTTCTGTTCAAATGGCGTTTATTTCTATTGTGGAAAGATGGGTTCAGGTAAGACATTTAATTTAATTCGTCATATACTCATAACAGAACGTTTAGGAAATGACTCATATTATGACCAAATCATTATATCAGCAACTTCAGACTCTATGGACTCAACAGCGAAAACATTTATGTCAAAAGTTCAAGCCTCTGTCGTTAAAGTTCCAGACAGTGAACTCATTGAATTTCTTCAACGTTACATTCGACGTAAGAGGAAATATTATGCCATCGTTGAATTTATACAGTCAGGAATGCAAAAGACTTCAGAAGAGATGGAAAGAATTATTGACAAACACCACTTACGTCAATACTCAGGAGTTTACGATATGAAACGACTGACAAACTACATTCTATCAAAACTTTCAAAATACCCCTTCAAAAAGTATCCTTCAAATACTCTGCTCGTTTGTGACGACTTCGCCGGAAAAGGTTTAGTGTCAAAAGCAGACTCACCATTAGCTAACATCATAACTAAAGTCAGACATTACCACTTAACTGTAGCAATACTTATGCAAACATGGCGTTTCCTTGCTTTAAACATAAAACGTCTCATAACTGACTTCGTTATCTTCAAGGTTTCTCACGCTATGATATTGAACTCATTTGGAAACAGTCAGGTATAACATTACCTTTTGAAGAAATTTGGGAAGCATATAAGTCTCTCATCTCTCCTCGTTCATACCTTGAGATTCATATCATGACTAATACCATTAAAGTCAAAAATATTCCATGGGAACGACCAACATTGTTTTAAAGTTTAACCTTCAATTGACTGATGGTAAACAAATTCCATGCATCTCTGTCGCCATTTCTGTTAATATTTTTGCTGTCATTCATATCATCCACTTCCCCATCCGTTAACTTTTGAGGATATGCGTTAGAATAGCTGTTCTTAAATGAAGGCTTTTCACCTTTGAGAGCATAAACTCTATAACTTTCTGCATACTTTATGTTTGAACCTCCTGAGCCATCATTGACATAAATTTTTATAGGCTTCCACCCTTTGTTCATGTTCCTGCTTCTTCCCTTAGCTCTTTTGTTCAGTAGTTCTACATCTTTATACACAGCACCTGTCTCAGTGAATTCAACAATATTTTCATTCGTTAGCTTTACATTCAAACCCTTGTCGAGTATATTGTTCATTTCATACATATAAAAGGTTTTTATTCTATATGAAATGAGAAGCAAATCCATCTTAGCTGGTGCCGTTAATGTTCCAATTGAACCAACATCAAATGTTGACTCACGAACGACAAACAATATTGTCATAAAGAACTATAGTTCAGAGTGTTTGAAAGAAAGAACCAGACTGAAATCCGTGAATTTAAACTCAGCTTCAAACGCTAACGCTACATCAGATGTTAAGTTAGAGTATCCACCACTGGACCAAATTCTTTCAAGAGAAGCCAACGACAACCCTTACACAAATGTTCAAACAAATCCTTCAGATAACGTAGACCATTACCTTCTTCAGTTATACCAAACAATTTTACTCAAAGACGATAAGAAGCTTTTGACAAATCTTATAAGCAAGAACCAAATAATTCTAACAAAGGAGGACCTTGAAAATGTTATATCACGAATAACAGGGAAACAATGTGTCATTGACTATCTCGACCCTGAAATCGAATGCTGTGGTCAAACGCCACCATTCATGAAAATAGGTAACATCCGCATCATTGAAACACCAGGAACTACAGGAGTTGAGTTTAAGTATAAATATTCGAACGATATACAAAACTTTCAACAGAATATAAGCTTTGTTTGAAATATGTTTTAGTAAATTAAAGCAATTTGTAATATCTATCCAAAACTTCTTCAACAGTATCGAACTCATCTTCATAATGCAAACCTAATCTTATTGACTTGGTGCAGTTTTCACTAACACAATATAGCGCTTTGCGCTCGGCGCCTTTGACGCCTTTTTCTGTTCTCTTGACTGACATAACTAACTCATTTGTTTCATCAAACAGCAATAACCAAAGTTCATGACCTAATACATAACATTCATACTTTATATTTTTAGCTCTGAGTTCTCTTGTAAGCTGTTGCATTTAATATTTTCTAAAAAGTCAACTTCAACAGTCATTCGCACTGGTGCCTTCAGTTCTACAGGCTCTCCTTGAAAGTCAACAAGTCTGAATTGCATGTCTTTCAAATTATGAGGACTAATGCGAACCCATTTACCTAAATGAGTTACTATGACAGGAACGTTTGGAATGAACATTGAATTGACTGCATAACAGAAGGATTTATATTCTACTGAACCTTTACTATTAACTCCTGAAATACCTGTGACATTAGCTATTTTTGACTCAACGTATAAACAATTACCATAACATACGTATGGAACAGATTTCATCTCAATCGTTTTGTCAACACTTTTCAAAGGACATGTCATATGGTATGCTCCCAGAAGCAATTGAACTCTATGACTCATTCGTGTTATCTTAAACTCCTTCGCATAACTGAACTTCAAAACTCCTGCAATAAGTTTAACA